TATGTCTGGGTATATATTTATAGTGACCCCGGTGAGCAGTGACTGCGGACAGAGGGCCCCACGGCTTCCGCGGCCTCTGCGGGTGAGTATGACGTAACCTCAAAGGAGAAAAGAGGAGAAATAACGGGAAGATAGTGTTTTTTACGGGTATTTTGACCTGCAAGAAACGACGCGCTGTCGCTGTAATTCATGCAGCGCGTGACAAGATCGCGCATATTTCTCAGACTGCACCTCGCATTTCTTGCAGTTTCTTACTTTGCAGTGCAAGAAATGTAGCAAACCCGCAAAAAAACGAGACACTGGGAACAAAATGACCACTTACCGTGAGTGGATGGAAGTAGTATGACGACAACGGCGAGGAAGAGGACGCCAACCAGTGACGCCATGAAAGACTTCATCTCGTACGAGGTGGTACTTGTGTGTGAATGTCACAAATTTTGGATGCCTCGAACTGCGAGACTGTGAAATGTGTGGTAAAGGAAAAATTAGGGTATTGTTGTCAACAATGGGGACGTTTTTATGGAGGGTCACCATGACATATTTCTGAGAATTGAGATTTTTCGGTGTATGCGATCCGATTTTGAGCAAATTAGTGTGAATCGATGAGAAATTTGATTAGGATGAAATTTGCGAAAGACACGATCTCCCAATGGGCATGTTTGACAGAGATATTTGCATCCGAAGAAGAGAAAACACGTCCTAAAGTTGACAAATGAAACTTTCCAGATTTACTTGGGATGCAAAAATCTCTGCCAAACGTGCCCTTTGGGAGATCGCGTCTTTCGCAAATTTCATACCAATTAAATTTTCCATCGATTGACACTAAATAAATTGCTCAAAATCGGTGAGAATATGTACGCTGGGTCTCTTCTTGATGCCGAGATTTCTTGTGGAGATTTCTTGTGGAGAGAGCAGAAAGTGTGAAACTTTATTGAAATTTTGGGAGTTTTGATCTGAAAATTTAAATTATTATTTTTTATTTAAGAAAATTACTTTGTTTCAAATCGTACTATTGATCTGATCTTTAAGAAAAACTAGTTATTAAATTAATTAACCTTTTAAGCATTTTGACCATGTATGTCATGGCGAACAATTTTACACGAAGTGCCGGACGAAAACACAACAATTAAAAAGATCCGTCCTTAGTTACATATATCAATTTTTTACGAAATTTATTAAGTAATTATTGTCGACTTTTAATCACATCGCAACGTTAAAATATTCGGATTACATCCAAAGACTGACTTTTTCTCGAGTCGTGATTTTTAGCCCGAACCAGGGCTTATGTAATTGTCATGTCAGTCGAACTGTCGAACGAGTTAACCAATTTTGACCAAATTTGGTGCAGACATGTATCTGGGCAATGCAACGACCGAGTTAGAAGATGGGTTCGATCAGAAAAGTTTTGAACCGGTGGGGGTCATATAAGTGGGTAGGGTATTTTGCACCAAAATTTCAAAATTGTTGTAGAGAGCTGAAATTTGATACAGAGGTTGCTAATGGCTCCTAATAGAAAAAAATAACTTCAGGTTGGAAAAATTTTAATCTTGAGGGACCCTATGGGGTGACCCATACTGATTTTTAGAAATTACTTTAAAAAGATGAAATCCGGCACAATGGTACTTAATGGCTTCTAATTAAAGAATATGAAGTTAAAAGTGAGTAAAGTGCAACCAGAGTGACCCTATGGGGTGACCCATACTGATTTTTCAAAATCATTATATCGAGCTGAAATTTGATATGGAGGCTGAAAACCACTGCTGGATAGCACATACATACAGCTTAGAGCTTCAGGATGTTAAAGAAGCCCACTGGTCATGGTGGTCAAGACACATGATCTGTAACTTGCTCAAAAATTTGGGACCAAATAATAGAAACTATCTAACAAACTTTTAACCATCCACAACACGGAAGTTGGTGATATTATGTTGGTCAATTCGGAAAAAAATTTAGAAGCGGGCTCTGACTTATTGAGTCAGGGACATAGTCCCTGACTATGGAGTCTGCACTGTAGGTTTTATCTATTAGGAGCCATTAGCAACCTCTGTGCCAAATTTCAGCTTTCTACGACAATTTTGAAATTTTGGTGCATAAGACCCCACCCACTCAGATGACCACCCCCGGGTAACCAGTTAACCGATTTCGCCCATCTTCGAACTCGATTCCTAACTTTGTCCAATATGCACATGGTAAAAATTTCAAGTCGGTAGCTTGTGTTTAAAGAGAGTTATCCTGTTTACGGACGGACGGACGGACGGACATGACGGTTCCATAAGCCCTGACTCGGGCTAAAAAGCTGTGGAAATTATTATTTTCGACTTCCATGTATGTCATGGTCAAAGTATTTTCTTGCAAAAACAATCGCCATGACTTTGATGGTATTGGTCCTGCAATGCAAATTTTTGCGACCATGACTAACATGGTTTTGGTCTTTCGATGTGTAAAAAATATGACATGAACACCATGGTTTAGGAAACTTGGTGTAAAATTTTTCTCCATGACATTCATGGTCAAAGTTCATTCCCCATTTTCGACTATAAAATGTAAATGCTTAAAAGGTTAAGATTGATTTTTATGAACAAAATAATATACATTTGAATTTGTTATTTTAAAATCCGAAAAAACAAATTTAACAAGCTTACTTACCTTCCTTGATTTTAAATAACGACACAAAAAATGAAATCGTATTTTAGTCAGGCATAAACAAATAAATTTTAATTTTGAAAATCAGCAAAAAAAATAAACGAAAGTTTTGGTTTATTTAAATGTTACTTATTTAAGTGTTACTTAACCTTTTAAGCATTTACATTTTATAGTCGAAAATGGGGAATGAACTTTGACCATGAATGTCATGGAGAAAAATTTTACACCAAGTTTCCTAAACCATGGTGTTCATGTCATATTTTTTACACATCGAAAGACCAAAACCATGTTAGTCATGGTCGCAAAAATTTGCATTGCAGGACCAATACCATCAAAGTCATGGCGATTGTTTTTGCAAGAAAATACTTTGACCATGACATACATGGAAGTCGAAAATAATAATTTCCACAGCTTTTTAGCCCGAGTCAGGGCTTATGGAACCGTCATGTCCGTCCGTCCGTCCGTCCGTAAACAGGATAACTCTCTTTAAACACAAGCTACCGACTTGAAATTTTTACCATGTGCATATTGGACAAAGTTAGGAATCGAGTTCGAAGATGGGCGAAATCGGTTAACTGGTTACCCGGGGGTGGTCATCTGAGTGGGTGGGGTCTTATGCACCAAAATTTCAAAATTGTCGTAGAAAGCTGAAATTTGGCACAGAGGTTGCTAATGGCTCCTAATAGATAAAACCTACAGTGCAGACTCCATAGTCAGGGACTATGTCCCTGACTCAATAAGTCAGAGCCCGCTTCTAAATTTTTTTCCGAATTGACCAACATAATATCACCAACTTCCGTGTTGTGGATGGTTAAAAGTTTGTTAGATAGTTTCTATTATTTGGTCCCAAATTTTTGAGCAAGTTACAGATCATGTGTCTTGACCACCATGACCAGTGGGCTTCTTTAACATCCTGAAGCTCTAAGCTGTATGTATGTGCTATCCAGCAGTGGTTTTCAGCCTCCATATCAAATTTCAGCTCGATATAATGATTTTGAAAAATCAGTATGGGTCACCCCATAGGGTCACTCTGGTTGCACTTTACTCACTTTTAACTTCATATTCTTTAATTAGAAGCCATTAAGTACCATTGTGCCGGATTTCATCTTTTTAAAGTAATTTCTAAAAATCAGTATGGGTCACCCCATAGGGTCCCTCAAGATTAAAATTTTTCCAACCTGAAGTTATTTTTTTCTATTAGGAGCCATTAGCAACCTCTGTATCAAATTTCAGCTCTCTACAACAATTTTGAAATTTTGGTGCAAAATACCCTACCCACTTATATGACCCCCACCGGTTCAAAACTTTTCTGATCGAACCCATCTTCTAACTCGGTCGTTGCATTGCCCAGATACATGTCTGCACCAAATTTGGTCAAAATTGGTTAACTCGTTCGACAGTTCGACTGACATGACAATTACATAAGCCCTGGTTCGGGCTAAAAATCACGACTCGAGAAAAAGTCAGTCTTTGGATGTAATCCGAATATTTTAACGTTGCGATGTGATTAAAAGTCGACAATAATTACTTAATAAATTTCGTAAAAAATTGATATATGTAACTAAGGACGGATCTTTTTAATTGTTGTGTTTTCGTCCGGCACTTCGTGTAAAATTGTTCGCCATGACATACATGGTCAAAATGCTTAAAAGGTTAATAGCGATGGTGAATCAATCTAATTAACTTACAAAGCAAGGAAAGCAAATGTTGCTAAATTTATGAATCGGATTTGAAACATGACATAAATTCATAAATAATAATATTCACTGATTTTATCTATTTATATAGAATTTACTAAAAAAATACATATTTTTTTTATAAAAAAACAATTTTGAACTGGTAGTTTAAAATATTTTCAGTTAATCGATGTCCAATTAAGCTTGTCCAAGGCTATCATCTAAATGAACTCCTTAAATATTTTATAACTTGTTAAATTTATTATATGGATTTTAAATGTGTCAAAATACCTAAATTTTATTTTGTCCATGAATAAATTTATAGAATCATTACCTAAACAAATAAATCTGTATTTATCAGAAATTTATTTCTCCAGTTTTTTGCATTTTTTTACGCCCTAAAAACGCAACTTAAAGTAAGCTAAATAAATTTTCTTAAAAATTGCATACGCTGAAGACGATAAAAATTGCAGCTTTTTTTAAGCAAATCGCGTTTTTAAATGGATACCGTTTGGTTCGTTAGTTCGATAACTGCATATCATATCATGAAGCCATCGTCATCCTGGTCATGAAACATAGTCTAATAATTGCGCAGATATCATAGATTTATTGACTAAAAAATTGCAAATGAAAAGGACGAATGCGAATTTAGGAGGGCCAAAAATTGCACAAAAACCCGACTTAACAGTGTCATCTAAATTTGTTTATTGTTCTCCAATCCTTTAATTTCAAATTCGTATTCGGATGGAGCAATTTAGACTCGGTTTTTGAGTAATTATTAATCATTACATCTCTGGAGTGAGGTCAATTAAAAATTATTTAGATAGATACAACAGACAATAGAGCTGGACTTGAATAACGTGCTTATCATGTATTAATACTTATAAAGTAACATAATAGTTTAGTTTACAATTTTGCATGAGCAACGACTTTGTATTTAATTTACTAATATCCGTCATTATTCCAAGAAATTTCATAATCCGATGGAAAATGTTGTTTCAAAACGTCTGCCGTAATTGAGTGGTCTGCTTTTCCATAACCCTAGGAAAAATGTGGAAATGATGATTAATAGGCAGTTAGCAAACCTACATTTTTAAAATTTCCGTAACTTTCCCTATCGCTTGAGCTGAGTCAAAGTTTCCGGAGCCGATCTTGAAATCACTTTAGATTGAATGTCCTCTGAAAATTTTTCATGTTATGTCCGGAAATTTTGACCCAACTCAAGCGATAGGGAAAGTTACGGAAGTTTTAAACAATTTGTATCGCAGGAGAAAATTTATACATCTCTTTTGCAATTTTTTTTTAGATACCTGCGAGTATCCAAAAACAGTAATTTTCTTAGACTCGTGCGTAATTCTTCCTACAATCGAAAGGAAGACACGAAACGAATCATAAATCATAATTCATGAGGGGCAAATAACTCAAATATTATGATTAGTATATTAATTAGTTAGTAATTTAACCTTACCTCCTCCCACACACTCCGAATCATACGCACCTTTCTCCAATTTGGCAAGAAACTCAACAAACCGGTCGTAAATGTCGCCTGCAAGTCAACAAACACATATTTTATAGTTAAACCGTTAAACCGTCTTCCTTAATTTTAATTACGGACCAATTAAATTGTTGTACTTTACCATGATACGGACAATCTGCATATCCTCTCACGACATATTTAAATTGTTCTTTCGCCGGCGACTTGGCAGGATCCGTTGTGACGTAAACTTTAATCAAAATATATTTGAATCGTCCAGCAGCATCGATTCCGACGGGGGGAACCTTATCCAGTTTATCTTGTACTGACGACGACGACATTTTCGACACACCGGTGGCGACGACAAGTTTTCCAATTTGGAGTGGAGGAATAAGGGAGATGATTGGGCGACGAAAAAGTGGAATTAACAGCGTCAGGATGGTGGCTAAAATTTTAATTAATAATTCCAAATTATGCTAATTGACAGCTTAATTATAATTAATGAACTCAATGCAATGAAAACACCACCTTAAAATTTATTTAAAATAGAATTTTGCCAAATAAATCCTGTCCGGCTTTTCGCTCGTTCAGATTTTTACTCGTGGTTTCAATCTGCCTCACGTTTTTAGTCTCACTTTTCAATATGAAAATAAAATTTTTATGAATGAATTTTTTATTTTTTTTTAAATTATCGATAATGGAAAAGTTGAATGGAATCATATTTTTTTGAAGTTAGTCTTTATTTCATTATTATGCAATTTTTCACATTCTATTAAGTACGTACACGTTTCAAACACGAAAAATACTTTGAATTTGATAAATTGTTGTTAAATTTAATCAATTGGTTCGAAATGGTGGAAAGTGGTTTTAACCCCTCATTAAATTAATTTTAATTATAGGTAGGTACTTTTGTCTACAAATTAACAATGAGTTTTTAAATTAGGCTGTTATGTTACTTATTATTTAAATCGTTGTAATTTGGTTCTCTTATTATTGTACTACTGTTAAATACTTATGTATTGGAATTAAAAGCTGTATTTTTGTGCTAAATTGATCAATAGATTATTATTTAACTAATTATTGAACTATAGATTTATGAAAAAGCGAAGCTTGACATGGAATACTGCAGAAAGTTAAGTGCTCTGTTTTTCCAACGCTAATTTTCTATATAAAAACAAAGGAATGATTCATTAACTGACTGGACCGCTATTTAACTAAATTCTAGTAGAATTTAATATAACATTTGGTTAGTAAGAAGTCTTCTGAAATTATGGAATCAGAATTATTTATATTAAACTAAACATGAATTTTTTGTAAGAATTAATAAATAAGACATTTATTCGTCTACAGTTTAGAACTTATTAGAGTAAAGATAAGATAAAATCATGGATTATCTTGTGCCATTCTTTGTTAGATGTTGGTAACTCTTGTCCGGATGAACGACACGATTATTTATTTAACCGTTCATCACGGCCCGGACAAATTCTTCGTAGTGGACGTTTCCTTGCGAGTCCTCATGACCGACGAGAAGTTGCTCGACTTCTTCGTCCGTGAGTTTCTCGCCTGATAAGATAAGATAAGAAAAGAATGAGGAATGAATTTTATGAGGGGAATGGAATTCTGTAAATTGAGAGTTACCCAGAGTTGTGAGTAAATGTCGCAACTCGGCGGATGAAATGTAGCCATTGCCGTCCTTATCGAAATGCCTGAGTCCCTCGATAAAGTCCTCGGCAGTATCGTTGCTCCTCGACTTGGAGATTTGAGTGTAGATTGGGAAAAAGACTTCGAAGCTGATCCGTTCCTCTGAATTAAGAATTATTAAGAATACAATGACAATGCACAATGGCTTAAATTAACGTAGGATTCATAGCAAAATCATTAAAATCAACGCATTTTTAATCATTTCTCGGCTCTGGGAATTTATTTTAAAATTCTGGATGAGTTTATAGTGAGTAAGTTGATTGATGGAATGACACTGAGTTTTTTTACGCCAGTTTCGCCGAGTTCCAATTTTTCTGAAGGCTTCTTAAACTTGAAATCTCCTCCTTCTAAACCTATAAAAATCTGGAGTACATATTTTTTGGGGAAACAACTTGTTCTACAAATTCGTCGTCCAGAATTTTAAAACAAATTCCCGGAGCGGAGATATGATTAAAAATGTGTCTCGAGCTCTACGTTATGTCGCAACTTTCTAAATTTTCCTTGGAACGTGCACAATTATTCTGACGTGTTTCATTCTAATAAATTAATCAATTTAATACCTGGGCGATGTTGATGGGTCAACTTCTTGACATCCGCTTCGGTGGGATTTTGTCCCAAAGCGCGGAGCACGTCGCCAACCTGGCTGACTTGGATTTTTCCATCGCCACGGTGGTCAAAGAGAGAAAAGGTCTCTTGGAATTCTTCTTCGCTAATGTGGGCCTAAAAGTAATTTGTAGATTAATTAATGTTTTCTTAACTCTAAATTTGTTAATCTATGATCTAACACATTTGACAACTAACGTACCATGTTATCTTCTCCAATACTCAATCCACACGATAGTTATAAATGATAATCACTTGAATCACGCCCTTCCGGTTGAAGATGATCAATTTAACACCACCTGTAACAAAAAGGACACATTTCTCGTTAAATTGATGACAAATCTTTAAAATTCCACCCACCAAACTTAACCAACCCAGAAAAAATAGACCACCCAACAAATTTCAAGCTTTAATGGGACAACGAACTTTCTAAAATATTTAATTGTTAAATTAATATTTAGTCAACGGCTTACCACACGAATTCTTCACAATGGAATGACAGCAGGCAGCAGCAACAAAAAGTCAGCAACTTTGACTCCTTTTAGGGATGAATCAACCAAACTGCAAGTGCCGTAAGAATCGAGGAATTTGCAAAGTTAGCAAAAAAATAGGACTTTGTGGAAACTTATTTTTGAAATGTAAGTGAGAGATTGTTTGTTTTTGGAAATTTTAAAATTCTGAAAAACGAGTCCGTTGCTGGTTGGTGACAGATGGAATTTTGTAGCGTGGGCGGGTCCAACTTCGCCCCGAGGAGTGGCGGCTGATTCAAATTTGCCGAATAAATAAATTGACATCGGAAACATGGAAGTTGTATTTTTTTTGATGGTTTCCATTCCACTCATAGTGGGATGGGATTCTCATAGTGGGATGGACAGGTTTAGGCCTGCAAACCCAAAGGCAAAATTTTGGTTGCCGGGAATGAAACCACCACCACTTCTCACTTTGTTTCACACTTTGCCTCACATCCAGCTAACGTTGTTTCGCATTTCATGAAACCAATGCTGGCTGCTGCATGGTTTCGTTTGCATTGAAACTTTCATGGTTTTATTACTGCGTCAATGCGTTGTACATAAAATTACTTTTAATAATTATTATTGTATGAATGTACATAGATAGACGTAATGAAAACCTACACAGTGCATACTCCATATAGCTCGAGTCAGGGACAGAGTCCATGACTCGGTGAGTCTGAGTTCTAAATTTTCTCCGAATTGATTCACCGCCTTGCCCCATACCAAATTTCAGATGGAAATAACAAACTTTTAATAACCTATCAGTACAGCTTTGCATAGCCCGAACCAGGATTGCTTAGTAAACCGATGTTTACTAATTTTCTGTAAAATTATGTGCTCCTATTTTGCACTAATTCTTGACTTCATTCTAAATTTCAACTCATTATATCAACTTTTAGAAATCGGTAGGGGTCACCCTATAATGCCCCTCTGGCCAATTTTTGTTCATATTTAACTTCATATTATTTCATAAGAAAGCAGCAAGGATCTCTTGGTCCAAATTTCAGCTTTCCATGTTAATTTCGGAAAATCGGCGGGGGTCACCCGATAGGGTCCTTCCAGATGATTTTGTTTTCTAATTCTAATGTATCCTCTTCTAAACAATTAGCAACCTAAATGCCAAATTTAGGCTCGATATGATGATTTTTAAAAATCGGTCTGGGTCACCCCTTCGTGTCCCTTCAGACGATAATTTTTCTAATTTGAATTTATATTCTTCCACTAAGAGTCATTAGCAAGCTCTACACATGTATACCAAATTTCAGCTTTCTACTGCAATTTTGGTGCATAATACCCTAAATTTTAGCTCGATATGACGATTTAAAAAATCAGTATGGGTCACCCGTCACCCCATAGGGTCCCTCAAGATGAAAATTTTGCCAATCTGAATTCATATTCTTCCATTAGGAGCCATTAGTAACCTCTGTACCAAATTTCAGCTTTCTAGCACAATTTTGAAATTTTGGTGCATAATATCCCACCCACTCCGATGACCCCCACCGGTCATCCACTTGACCGATTTCTCCCATCTTCGAACTCGTTTCCTAACTTTGCCCAATATGCATATGGTAAAAATTTCAAGTCAATCGGTTTTGGCTCTATCGCACCGGACAGACGGACGGACATGACGGTCCTATAATCCCTGACTCGGGCTAAAAAGTGTATCATTTTACTGCTGTTTTACCATATCGGTAGCAAACTTTTACGGACCGGTATAATTTTAATACTAAGCAGTAGCAAATTTAATAACGAGAAATCAATATCTGCCGGACCATGCCTTTCTAACTGTGGACACTAATTATGGAAAATAAGTGCTGTTGCGAAGAATTTAATTTAAAAGGTGTCGTGGAAGAGGGGTGTTTTATTTATTTTTGGATTAAATATTTATTAAAGCAGACAGAAGTTTTGACGAGAAACTCCAGTTAAATGAGTGCACGTGCGTTTCATGTAAACAGTGCACTATTTGAGTATGCGTGATGGAGTGGTGGTGGAGCGGAGCGCAGCGTTACACTAGGATCTAGGACAGAATTTGACAATTTTTGCCTTTGGATCTCAACGCAGAAATCCTACCAACGTACTCTGTGAAACTGAGCAGTTGGCGCCCAACAAGTATTTTTTCAGAAACTTTGAATTAAAATTAATTAACTAAATAATTTTAAAGGAACAATTATGGAACTTTTGTATGAAGTTGAGCCAGATTTGGACGGAGCTGAGGATTATGTTGTGAGCACGAAAAGGTGACGAGAAAGGAAATTTTATCTACTTAATTTTCTGAAATATGATTGTAAATTGTAAATTTTAATTTAATTGTACAACTTTATTCATTTAATGTTCCTGATTTAGAATGAAACTGACTCCCGAACGAAGGCCCACGATTGCAATATCGGTCCATAATCTGCTCGCCTTTTCCTCAAATGTGGACCTGAGTCAGTGTCAAAGTTCCAGTTCCAGTCCGATGAAAGACGGAGGTCCTCCGGAAGTTGGAAAACGGTCGACCTACACGGCCAGTGCGTCGTCAAATATTTCCGATGACGTCGGAATTGCGGGGTGTCATTTGTACGTGACGGATCTTAATACGCCGTGGGAAATATTTTTGTAAGAGTAGAATTAATATTTAAATTTTAATGGTTAGTTAATTATGGTGATAATTGAGGCTTGAATGCTGTCCAGGATTAAGAACAGCTCTGCCCAAATCCGGTATTTACAATGGGACCATGCCGGCACAAAGTTATGCGTGGGGACGGACGATGGCCGGGTCGAAATTTATGTCATGGTTGATAATCTACTTAATAAGTGGGGAGTCAGCTATGAAGCTGCACTCCCTGGAGAGCCAATCCTTATCGCGGAGTGGCTCAATGCGCCAAGAAAGGTAGTCGTAATTGTTAATTATTATTAAAGCGATGACTTATCACTAAAATAGTCAAAAATCAGTACATTTTCAATCATTTATCGCCTCTGGGAATTTATTTTAAAATTCTGAACGACAAATTTGTAAAAATTTGTAGTTGATTAATGGAATGGCGTTGAGCTTTTGAAGCCAGTTTCGATGAGTTCTAATTTTCTGAAGGCTTCGTAAACTTGAGATCTCCTTCAAAAACTGTCAAAATCTGGTGTGTATATTTCGTTAAAAAATTGGCAACGACTTGCTCTAAAGATTTTTAACATACTGTAAATTCCCAGAGTGGAAAAATGATTAAAATTGTGCTGATTTTTATGATTTTGATCGATGAAAAGTAGCTGCGGATTTAAACATTTCTTGCGTGAATGTTAGGTCACCGTAAATCCCGAGAAGATGGACAGCATGGTGTACAGCGAGAAATATCTGACCAGCGTTCCCTTCAGTTCGAGAGGATTTGGAGGAAAAGCACTCGACGGTCTCGTCGTCGTTACAGCTACCGGCCTGTTGGGCGCTGTTGTTCAGAGCAATTCGGAAGAAACTGGAGGAAAACCTATTGTCGCGTCAGAGAAAATGTTCGCCATGCGGAATCATATTGTTCACGCGGATCTTGCTTATTCCACGGGTGAGGGTTTATTAATTCCTGGACTTTTTGAGTTCATACTAAATTTTGACCAAATTAGTGTGAATCGACCACAAATTCAATTAGAATGCTGGATTTGGATTAGCTGTCCTTTCTCTCATTAAAACGAAAATAATTTTTAGTAAATTTGTCAGTGTTGCACGCCAAAATTTGAAATTTCAAGAAGAATTATGCGAGTTGTAATTTAAAATAGATCCAACAGAGCTACGTGGTCATAATATGTTTTCAAATTTACAATTTACGCATGAGACTGACAACCTTATCAAAATTGATTTTCGTTTTTTTATGAAGAATATGCACCTACGAAACTTTGTCGTGTTTTCCATTTACCAATATTTACAACTTTTCCTGTCGTTTACACATTTCTAAATTAAAAATGACAGTTGTTATCACAAGGAAGGTTTTCCAAGCGAATGTAATCAGATTTTGAGCAAATTAGTGTCTATTGATTACAAATTCAAGTAGGATGAAATGCCAAAAAGTCGACAAATTTTCCAAGTAAAATAAATTTATTATATAAATTTACTGCGCGTTTTCTCCTCTTTGGGATGCAAATATCTCTGCCAAGCGTACCCATTGGGAGATCGTGTCTTTTGCAAATATCATCCTAATTAAATTTGCGATCGATAGACATTAATTTGCTAAAAATCGGAGTAAGCATACGCTGGGAGATCTCCATATTAAGATGTTGCCGTAAAGTAGAAATTAGCTATCTGAACATTGACTTATGTATAAGCAAAGATATGTATGAACTAAATCCGACGTTGAATTGACACAACAAAAAAAATATACCAAAATTTCCGATTTAAATACATTATTCAAATTTTCTAGCCCTTTTTCATTCAGACTTTCCTGCTTGCGCAGATCGTGTCGTTTCCAAATTTCAAATTTGTGATGGATTGACACTAATTTATCCTAAATCTGTGAACATACGCTAGGAGACCTCCATTATTTATGCAAGTTTTTTATTTTTATTTCCTAGACGGTGACATTCTGGTGGTGACAAGCACGGAAAATATGAAGCAACCCGTCCTAGTGAACAAGATAAACGTGTCGTTGTCCCATTCTCGCGATAAGGTGGAAATAAAAGCGGTTCCTTGTCAGTCGTTATTCTTGCAGTCAATGTTGGGTAAGGAATTCTACAAATTTTCATTTAAAATATGCAAAATTGTTTATTAATTATTTACTGTCGTTATCATTTCAGACCATTCGATCTCATCTGTTAAATTCATCAATAAATGTGACACGGATCATCTCCTTATTTCTCTCACGAATCGACTCACCGGCTCCAGTATGCTATATATTTATGAACTCGTCGCCCACACGGTGACTTTGAAGTCGAAATTTAACCAAAGCAGTGCAGCGATCAGTACTGGTTCGGACGTGGTCAATACATTCGTAAGGAATTTCCCATTACATAGTTTTCAACTTAGGACTCGATGACCAAAATCGTCAAAATCAGCACATTTTTAATCATTTCTCCGCTCTGGGAATTTATTTTAAAATTCTTGAAGAGCAGGTCGGTCCCAATTTTTTTAAGAAATATACACTCCAGGTTTTGACACTTTTTGAAGGAGGAGATCTCAAGTTTAAGAAACCTTCAGAAAAATTAGAACTCGTCGAAACTGGCTCAAAAAACTCATTCAAAAACGACATTCCATTAATCAACTCACTGACTACAAATTTGTCGTCCAGAATTTTAAAATAAGTTCCCAGAACAGAGAAAATGATTTAAAATGCGTTGATTTTAACGATTTTGGTGATCGATCTACGTTAAATCTGCATAATTTAATTTCTACTTAAACTTAATGTCATTCTATTTTATTTTCAGAGATGGCAACAAACCAGCCACATTCAATTTGGTAGCTCGATCTCCTCAATTTGCTCCCTACCATCGCCACTCATTCCAAACATCAATTCCTCCATTTCCCCCACCACCACGACCACTTCTTCTTCTTCTGGGTCATCGTCATCCATGCAGAACCAGAATCAGCAGACTGCAACGGTTCTTACTCCCATAATTGCGACCGCTCTTTCCAATGGATGCATCGTCCTCAGTCGATGCGACAATTTGCAACAGGTGTGCAAAAAAAAGAATTTGCAAATACTTTGATGAATCAATTATATTGCATTTTTATGACACTCACGAGGATAAAATGCAGTGCAAAAATTGGTGCACTTTAAGCTGCACGCTTCACTGGAGAAGAAGAAGATGCGATGCGATGCATTTTTCTATATTTTGCCACACGCGTCCCGGTTGATTAGTTAATTTTGCATGGGTTTGTTTGATGATTGACTTTGATCCTCACTTATCTATTATTGACTTACCTTGTCACTGTCAGGATCATAATAATACCGCTCAAATTATGATAGATAAATACTTACCAGAGATAATTTTCGATTTGCATTTCTAAAACCAAAAAACCCATGCGATTTTTTTCAAGGAAATGACTTTTTAAAGAAAGTCAGCAAATAATGCTTGAGGATGACTTTGCGTTTCTAATTTTGCGTAAAAGTTGGTGATTCATGATGCATGTTATGTAATTTAATGATGTATGCACATATGCAAATAAGGGAAAGTTTTGTAATAATGATGAGAACGAGACCACACTGATTTTTTCACTGTGATTTTTTAAGGACGGAGAGGAAATATTTAGGAAAATTGCTGAAATTATTTAAAATTTAAGAAAACAAACCCAAAATATTTACGAAATATACACAAAAATATTTAAATACGAATATTCTCAAAATTTATATTCCGAATTTAATGCTCTGGATTTTTTTGTGATCCAATTTCTCTTAACAAAAAAAGTCGAATAATATCATTGAAATATTTGCAAAATATATGCATTTTTGAAAAAATAAGGTTTTAATTTGAGGCAGGAATATGTGAAAACATTTTGAAATTTTTAGAATCTATAACAGTTAGAGAAAACACGCATAAGTTTGACCGTCGGTCGTCATCAAATGAAAAACTTGAAAATAAATACACATCCGTCCTTTGCTTATTTTTTTATAGATTTGTTCCTACTCGACCACATCATCCACTCCAAGTTCTGGTCATCCGTTTGCAATCGGTGGCGTGAAACTGGAACGGGACCATAATACCGACTGGAATAGTAGTCCTACTAAAAAGAAGGAATGTTCATCCCCCTCGAAAATAAATTCGGGTAGCAGCAGCCCCGGCACAGAGAATCCCGTCTCCATCTCGTTCACCTGGAGTGGATCAATCCTTGTCAGCCTGACGGAAAACTCGCATCTGAAAACGTACAAAGTGCACGCCAACCTTGACGCGAGTGAGTTTTGACGAGTTTGTTGATGATGAGTTTGATTGAATAATTCTTTGAGATTTGATTTCTGTGTAGGCACGGCCGCGTTGCTCATGGAATTGAGCATGATGGGTGGGTTGGACCCGTGGGACGTGATGATGTGCATACGGACGAACCTGATCGACAACATAACGGATCGGCTCAGCGAAACTTTTGCGAGACAGCCGCCCCCAGTGCAGACACATTACAATGGAAGGATGCTCGTTATCAAGGCTGGGCTTTATAGGTGATTAGAGTAACAAAGAGTAAAATATTTGTGTAGGATCCTTTTTAATTATTGGGATTGGTTTGGTTATGATAGAATTGGATCTAGTGGGACAGCGAGGATTAACGATCAGCAAACTTTGCTCGTATTGTATCTGGTTTCGGGCGCGTTGAAAGCACTCCTTCGACCGGCGGAGTTATCATCGAGGGAGAAAGGACCGGCCGAATCGTTAGCGAGTGAGGATTTAAAATTGACACCGTTTTTTAATTAACGTTGGACTCATCAAAATCCTCAAAATTAGCACGTTTTTAATCGTTTCTGGGTTCTGGGAATTTATTTTAAAACTCTGGACAACAAATTTGTAGAGCAGGGAGTTGCCGATTTTTTAGAAATGTACACTCCAGATTTTGACAATTTTTGAAGTAGGAGAAGTTTAAATAGCCTTCAGAAAAATTGCAACTCATCGTCACTAGCTGAAAAAGAAACTCAAGGCCATTCTATTAATCAACTTGGTGACTATAAATTTCCCCTCGAGTATTTTAGAATAAATTGCCAGAGCCGAGCAACGATTGAAAATGTGCTGATTTAAAAGATTTTGGTGATAAAGTGACATGTATAAACTAAAATTATTTTTGTATCATAGGTTTGCTAAGCTCATCCGGGGAGCACGATCTGACCAAGGTTCTCGTCCAAATGGCCGCCACGGAGTATGCCGTTGAAGCCAACACGCTCCAATCGCTGCAACAAATTTTACAATGGTGTGCCGACCTGGCGTTAAAGTTGTTGTCGACGCTACCCGACCTGCGTCACTCTCGAGCCCCGGGTGTAAGTAGAAATTAAGTAATTAAGTATGGCGTCTGTGGGTTCGATTTGTGGTGCAAACGTTGAGATGCGTTTACCGAGAAATTGGGGGGTGAAACCCGGGAAAAGGAGCTAATAAAAATAAAAAAAGGTCCCTACTAAAAATTAGAAATTCTGAATCCCGAAAATGTCCATTTTTGTTACGGGCAGTGTGAATTTTCCGGGATTTTCTTCCCCCCGCCCCACACTTTTTCTATCAAAACACAAAAATCGAAGCGAAGGATTCGACTTGTGGTGCACACGTGCAAAATGGTTTGCCAGGAAAGCGAAGGGAAATTTTTCGAAAATTCTTAAAGCTTCCAAGAATCTTCGAGCATTTTTTGGAAATTTGTGACCTGTTTTTATAGTCCGTTGTTTCGGGATTTTCCGGGAGTTTTCTTCTCCCCGTTTTCCGGTAAAAATACAGAAATCGAATCCACAATTTCATCACTATTAATCTGATTTGAAAGCGAAAGAAACCGTCCCAAATTCGAGGCGCAATCAATTTCACAATTTAGTTATGGTCACGCCTCATCGATTTGATTATTTGTTTCTCTTGCAGTGGGAAGTTTGCCGAGATTCCAAAGCCGTCGGTACTTTGAGAGAGCTAATCGTCCTCATGCGAATCTGGGGGTTGCAGCGCCCCTCGTGTTTGCCCGCTTTTCGAAAAACTTCCGAAAATCTGGACGTGCTTCCGCTCCTTTTTCGACTTCTGACGAGGCTCTCCGTCGCCCCGCATGATCCTGACGAAGCCTTGATCGGTGAGGCGGCACTGTTAATGTATTCGCTTATTTATCTATTCAAAACTTGATCAAGATTGGGACAGGGGAAGAAATATGAAATTAGATTTTGTCCTGGGTTTCGTACACGAGTCGGTAAAATGACATGACATGACCTCGTTTAAAATCTGGTGGTGTAATTGAAGGTGGATTTGGTTTTCATTGCATAAAGTGGAGGAGTCACTTTGAAGTCGGTGGAGTGAGACGGACAAAAAGTGAGCAGGATCATCATTTCCCCGGATGGATTCTTGATTAGTTGTGATATGCACCTAGAGATTTTCCTCTCTTTGATCCGTTTAAAAATGGTTTGTATAGAAATATTCTTTGAAATATTGGGAGATGGAAATATGCAAATTGAAGCTGAGCAAGTACGTGGTGGCCTGAGAGACCCAAGTTATTTTGGGGATTTGGTTTGTCCCACTGAATTTATGATCATGTTTCAAATAAGTACTTATGTATGATTGTAAATTTTTATTAAAAATTTATTATTGGGCCTCCTCAGACACACGAAAAAATCGTCGCTTCGAATTTCGCTTTGTTTTTCGCTTATCGATAGCATGGCCAAAATTATGAAAATTGCAAAATTTTGTTGCGACTTCAGCTAACCGACCTTAACCCCACTTATAAGTTGAGTTTCTGTTCGCTTACCCCAGAGCTCGCTTATCAGGAAGTAAGCGAAAAACGAAGCGAAATTTTAAGCGACGATATTTTCGTGTGTCTGAGGAGGCCCATTATTTTTCAACATTTACTAACAAAAAGTAGGATAAAATTAGTAACGCTTTATGTATTCGCATTGAGAATGGAGTTCTCCCAGCGTAAGCTGTCCGATTTTGAGGAAATTAGTGTTAACCGGTCACAAATTTAGTTATGATTCATAAATAAATCATCGTAAAGATGATAAATTGTACACTTTCCAATTATCTTACGCGTTTTCTCCTCTTCGGATGCAAATATCAATTCGGAGATCGCGTCTTTCGCAAATTTTATCCTAATTAAAGTTATTGATTTACACTAATTTGCCAAAAATCGGATCGCATACGCCAGGAGATTTCGATCGAAAATAATCTCTCCTCATTTTAAATCCTTCCCATTCTCGCCATTCCCTTTTTTACTGGCATGATCATACGGCAAAGTAGCCGCATCACTGAAACGTTCCTCCCCACCTCCTCCTCTTCCCCCTTGACTTTGTTCTTGTCCTTGTTCTTCACTCTCACTTCTCGACGTTGACGACGACGACTCTGAGCTGGTTTCTTCTCCTTGTTGCTGTCCTTCTTCATCTTCTTCCTCCACCCGGTAGAAACTCTCGCCAGCCGTGAGTTTAAAAAAGTCCGAGATCGGGCGCATATTCTCGACCCGCGTGGTCCTCGGTTCCCTTTGGTCGAGGGGAATATCGTACTTTTCATAGGGGAAGGATTCCTCCCGGGAAAGGTGGCGGGACTGGCGACGTGTCGACGACGTGGGAGGTGGTGTTGTGGGGAGAGGAGGAGGAGGGGCATTGTTCGACGCGGGGGGAGGAGCGGGGGCAGTGGCGGGATTAGGGAAATACTGGAATCCGGAAGTATCCAGATTGTTAGAGGATTCCGTGGCGGAATTTTGCTGGTGGTGGTCCGAGGTTAGGTCGGGATATGACGCCGAGGAGGTCGACGTCGGGGGTGGATTGTGTCGTCGGGATGAGGGCGGCGGAGGGCGTGGGCGTGGTTGTTGGTGTGACGATTGTTGGTTGACCGGGGTGGTCGTGTAAGAGGCGAGGTTTGGATATGTCGGGATATCTTGAGAGGGGGGTTGGACTTCTTCGGTGATGGTGGACATGGACGGGACAGATCCTCCGGTGGAGGTGGTTCCTGAAATGGCAGAGTTTTTGTGATGAATTTTTGGGGAAATATTTCTGAATTGATGTAGAAAGGAATCATCGTAAAAACTAGAGCATTTTTAATGATTTCTCGGGTCTGGGAATCCATTTTAAAACTCTGACAAATTGGTAAAGCAGGGAATTGCATATTTAAAAAAATATATACACTCCGGATTTTGACACTTTTTGAAGGAAGAGATCTCAAGTTTAGGAAGCCTTCAAAAAAATTGGAACAAGTCGAAACTAGCTCAAAAAATTCAACGCCATTTCATCAATCAACTCACCGACTATAGATTTATCGTCCAGAATTTTAAAATAAATTCCCAGAGCAGAGAAATGTTAAAAAATGTGTAGATTTTGAGGAAGAATTTTAAAGTTAATTGATGAAATAGTGAAAATAAAGATTTGTAAATATCAACTTAGGTAGGGTTCTCAATTCTTTGACAAGTTTTTCGAGATGACAGAAACATAGATAATTCTAGAAGTGCGAAAATTGTCATCATTCTTGCTGCTCCGTGCTTGCCTAGGCTTTTTGTGCATATCAAAAAAACTACAAATTTTCGTCCAGAATTTAAATATAAATTCTCCTAGGCGAGAAATGATTAAAATGTGCTGATTTTGGTGATAAGTCCTACGTTAAGGTGAGCTTATGTATTACCCGTGGTGTACAAGTTGTTACTGCTGCTCCTACTTTTTCCGGAGGACGACCCCCCGCCGTGCAGGGGTTTCACATCAGGGAAGATATTTTTCTTGGTGAGGCGTCGTTTCTTCTCGCCCTTCTCCTCCTTCCGCGTCCTGCTTTTGCTTTTGTGGTCGCGGTACACGCCGTACGCCATCGCGGCGAGGAAAAGGGCGCCCACGGCGAGCGCGATGTACAGGAAGATGTAGGCCGTCTCATTTTTTTCATAGGGTTTCTGCTGGCTGAGAGGGTTGGGGGAATTTACGAGGTATTCGTCTAGAAATATGGGATTTTTAGGAAATTTTAGTAAAAAAATTGGAAGGTTTTTGGGAATTTGTGGGGTATTTGTCTGGAGAAAATGTTACTTTTTAGGAAGTTTTGGTAAAAAGATTGGAAAGTTTGGCGGAATTAACGAGGTAGTCGTTCAGAAAAAAATGGCATTTTTAAGAAATTTTTCTCAAAAATTGGGAAGGTTTAGCGGAATTTACGAGATACTGGTCTAGAAATATATGAATTTTTAAGAAATTTTACTCGAAAATTGGAAGAGTTGACAAAATTTCCGAGGTATTTGTCTTGACAAAATACATATTTGAAAGTGGTATTTTTTTTAAAGAAATTTTAGTAAAAAAAAATCGGACTTACGTGGTTTTCTATGATGATTTCTGCGATAGTGATCGTCCATGTTTCGATAAGAACTTTAGTGGAGGTGATGAGTCGTCGATAAGTGGTTAAGTTTTTGGCGTGACGAGATCTCTCTGGAATAGCGGATGTTATATTTTTTTAATAACGTGTAACTTGTGACTAAACGAGCGAATCAATGCGAATTAGATAGAATACTGTGTGATTTGTTATCAGATCGTAAATTATGCAAATTATGGAAGTAGATAGTATTTAGAGGACGATGCAGCAAGCAAACCCAATTTTTCTAGACGCGATTATTAATGAGGGATGATAACATGACACTCTTTCGCTTGAAATGAAATGGTGCGGTGCAGTTGGACTGGATTTTAATGTTCTTCCTGTTGTTACGCGTGTAAGTAGGCACGTCTTTCGGACGACTTTAGTGTGATACTGACGAGCTACTTAAATATGTACACAGCTCATGGACATTTGTCGTACCCCTCGAGAAGTTAAAAAGAATGGACAAAATAAGTACATAAAAGCACTTGTGGAAGAAACCCGGTAGCTAAATAACATGGATATTGGGCACCTGTTAAAGTCGTGTTAAACAACAAGGCATAAATAATATGCAAGACGAGTTCAGTTCATCATTATGAGACGAAAAACAACCCGATATCTCCTCACGAGAGAAGGGATAGGATAACATAACGCGGACATGAGAAGGATGACTTTGTCGTCTTAATAATAATCATGAGCTGTATTTTGTTAGTTAAGTAGCAAAGGGACGATATGGGCACAAAGAAGGCTTTGTAATGTACTGAAATTTTTGCCTTAAGGGAGCCCAGAAGACGGCAGTAATAAGTCAGTGACTTGAACTTGTAAAAGGGCTGCCTTTTTTTGAGGGTGTAATAAAGAGCGAAGAAAAAAAAATTAGGCTCAAATCTGATGTAAAAGGGAACGTTCGTAAACTTTATAAGGGAAATTTTAGGTTGTTTGGACACCCAAAAATGTGTCACATAGGGACAACATCACTTGGGTCGTGACCACCTCTCTTTACATTATGAAGTTTACGAATGTTCCATAATAATTAAAATTATTTACGTATTTTATGTCGACTTACTTACTTTTTTTTATTTTGTTTGTTTAGGTTTGTCACCTTTTCCGATTAATGTAAATTTTTATATTAGTCAAATGAAGGTTTTAGATTTTTGCGGCCTGTGTTGATAAAAAAAGAAATTGCGTGATTAAGTTTTTCAGTAAATTACTGTGGATGAAGTTCTAACCCTGCAGACTTATTACACCGCTTTGTAGCATTAATTTCACGACGTCACCGGTCAAAAAAATTTTTTCCTCCAAACTGGTCCAAAATAAAAGTCTAGCATGGGAATAGTATAGAAAAATTATTTTTAGCGTTCTATGACCCCTGGGTCATGAATTAAGGGCCCCTGAAGGGTCAAATAGCGTTCCCTGATAACCCCATGCAAATGGGGTATCAAATTAATCCCCTGGACCAGGGGAACCAGAAAAATATTTTTATAAATTTTTATGACCCTTGAGTCGTGAACTAGGAGCCCTTGAAGGGTTAAATATCATTCCCTCACAACTAAAGGCAAGTGGGGTATCAAATTAATCCCCTGGACAAGGGGAACCCAAAAAATATTTTTCTGGATTTTTTTGACCCTCAGGTCAAGAGTTAAGGGCCCCCGAAGGGTCAAAATAGTAACCATGGTAACCCCATGCAAGTGGGGTATCAAATTAATCCCCTGGCAAAGGGCAAGCATAAAAATATTTTCCTGAATTTTTTTGACCTATAGGTCAAGAGTTAAGGGTCCCTGAAGGGTCAACATAGTAACCATGGTAACTAAGGTGAATGGGGTATCAAATTAATCCCCTGGACCAGGGGAATCAGAAAAATATTTTTTGGTTTTTGTGACGTATAGGTCAAGAGTTAAGGGCCCCTGAAGGGTCAAATAATAACTTATTGTATTTTACTAAACGGGACATTATTTTAAAGTTTTCAGTTTTGCAAGAATGTTAAGTAGAGAGGGGTAGGCATATTTTTGAAAATTTCGTACAAATTTAATGAATAATAATTCTTAACACTATGTACAAATCGGATTCACTATTTATAATATTTATTATGTATTGAATCCATTGAAGTTAAAATCTAGGTTGATTCTGGTGGGAAGGTTAATCTCCTCCTAGAAGTTGCACATTCTTCTTCAGGCAAGTCTTCTTCTTCCCCAGCCTGTGAGTATTCAATATCATTGTGTATTTGCATTCGGAATCTATCAACTACTTCGTCAACATCGTCAGGGTCCTCATCTTCGTCGTCAGACACATCATCTGCTGCTGTAATCTGTATATTATGTATAAGTTATGTATTTTTTTACTAATAGTTTACTGTCACCAAGAACTCACTCGAATGGGGTTGGCTGAAGCTACACGTGTTTGGAAGTCATCAAGGAAGTCATCAAAATGTCCATCATTTTTCCAATACTCGTCCTCCAATCTATTTACAATAATAATGTAGAAATTGCGAATTATTCCCATAATAGCGAATCTTGGTTTTACGAACCGGTGCACATGTTTGATGTGTTTCTGCCATTGTTCCTTTGTGTATGTTGTCATAATTCTCTCAGCCTCAGCTTGTGCAAACTCAGCGGTCCCCTGTGTGTTTGCAGCCCTAACTGCGTGCTTGATGTCTTTCCACACGTACTCAATTGGGTTCAAGTCGCTAAAAATAGTTATTACATGAATATTCTTATTACCGTTACCTATGATTACCAGTTCTTACCAGTTATATGGGGGTAATCTGGAAAATACGTAAATACAGTGTTTAAATAAATATTACAAATTATTAGTAAATTACCCATGAATAGAAAATAACTTTACCGGACAACAGTGTTTCCATATTTCAATGCCTCCTTATCCACAATGTAATATTCATTTCCGTTTTTAAGGTCTTGAACCATTTTCCATAATTCAGGTCGTCTCATTTGCTTTACAGGTTTTAGTTTCAGCTTTTCAGGGCCCTCTAAATTATCATTCAGCCAGTCGTATAGCTCTTGTTTTCGGGATGTAGATTTTGGGGCTTCCTTGGTGCTGTGATACGGAGCTGACAAATTTAAATAAATGAAATTCAAATTAAAATGGAATTTACAAATACAAATTATTGGATGATATTACCGTTATCAATAACAATTATGCATGGACCATAATTATCTTTTATCTTTTGATTAAGATCCTTCCACCAAGCCATGTAAGCGACACCGTTAACGTTTGCGTGGTAATCCATCTGGACTTTCTTCTTTGATACTGGATATACCTTCATAGCGCCAGGTACGAATCCATCCTCTCCACCTGTGAAGATAATTATTATTTTGAAATAATTTCCTATTTAATGTGGATAGTTGAACTGCACCTGCATGCATCACAATGATACGTGGTCCTCTAGAAATTTTCGGGTTTTGGAAGGAGTATAAAGCCGCTTCATGAAATGACTTTGGTGAATTAATAACCCAGCCTTTTCCAGTTCTAGCATAACTATCGACCCACGTTTCATCTGAATAAATATAATGCATTAATAATTATATTAAATTAAATTAAAACATTTTTGATATTTAATCAGCCAAACCTGTGTAGACAACACATTTTGGGTTCTCGGACTGACGATTTTTAATCATTACGGACAGATATTCATATCGCTTCTGCACGATGTCTGATCTCATGAGGATAACTGCTCGCTTATCAACAGTTTTGAATCTAAATCCTAATTGCTTAATGAGTTTTCTTAACGTCCACTTGGAACATTTGAACGCTGTAAGAGTTTCTCCTCGGGCTATCCGACCATCTTCTTCTTCCTTGACTTCCTCCATCAGTTTTGTGTATACGTTATGCATTGTTGGTGCTTGATTATTAGCATAGAATTGATGAATGATTCGTTTAACGTGCTCAGTTCGGAAGTCGTCAAACTGATCCATCACTGGCGTTGGTCTAATACGTTTCTTACCAGGTGTTTTTATACTATTCGTTTTGTAATTCTCCATTGTCTGATAAACTGTTCTCTCTCCATCCTATTCCTAGAATCTGGCTAGTTTTGGTGACAGAGTTTCCTGTTAGTATTTCACACTGTACCTGGTTACTGTCAAAGAATACTTTGGCGTTGACAATTAACTTTTGAGCTGTCGCCTGTAGTGAAACACCAAGTAGTTGGAATGGGAGTTTAGTATTTGGTTGTTTACAGTCGTTTTTCGCTTTCGGTGTTGCTTTCTCAATTTCAAAGGCTAATTGTTGCATAGGAAAACTCGTAGGACTGCACCTCGAAAGACTAAGGTAAGGTTTGGTTCCATCATTCCGTCTAGGAACATCAGATAAAGGAATTCGCATTTCACCTTCCCCCAATACCTGTTCTTTAGCTCTGAGAAGGGAATAGAAATATCCACACTCAGAATCCGGACAAGGAGGACCAACAATTAGGACATCTTGAATGAACTCGTTTATAAGGTTCATCTTTTCGTCGTTTATGGGGGTTGGGAGATAGCCTACCGTGTCACTGCCGGGTGGAACATTTTGGATTAGTGAAAAAGATTGAACTGCTTGATGAAATTGCCCTTGATTGTGTCCGAAGTGAAGTAAAATTATGCAGTACGTCAATGACTCGGCAGGTAAGATTCCTTCGAGATGGTCACTAGTAATCTGGCTGTCAGAAAACAACATATCTGGTGCAACTTGTTTCGATCCGAGGACAAAGTAGAAATTTTTTATTTTGCGTTGCGTAGTTTGTTTCTCTTGTATGATTGAGAAGATCTTGTTCTGGAAAGATGCGTACATTACTTGGTGGATAGTCATCCCGCCCACAAGGATTATTTCAACGAATCCGTTAAGTGAATTAGTTTTTGGAGGACGAGCGCCTTTTGGGCAAATACGAACATGTTCAATAAACGAAATCTGGTTATCATCATTCTTGGTTGCAAATTCGTTCAAAATCATCCTACATCCCCCTTTGTAAGGGGCCGTTGGGTAAATGTCTGTTCCCACACATGTATCTTCACCTTCTGTACTCTTGGATGCATACTCTGTATTTGAAGTGTCCATTGGTGATTCACCGCCAGGAGCTGACCCTTCCCCTAACTCTTCACGTTGTCCACAGTGCCCACGTTCATCATCTCCATCACCATCCTCCTGTATTGATCAGAACAAAAACGTACATGAGCTTGTTACTACAACAACAATTTCACGATGTCCCCCACAACATCCGCGGTCGCTGCTATTTATAAATATGTTGCAATATTTCTCACAAGTGCGTCTGCATTGGTGTCCATTTCATCCACATTTGAGCATGGCATGACGAGGGAATTCATGTCAGACTGTTTTTGCTAAAAGTGATAAACTTGTATGAAATGCGTCTGTGCTCTCAGACAATAAATCGATGAATCTGAGCTAGCATTAATAGTGCAAAAATATAATCTTACATCGATATGCGGTGGATTTACATTAGTTTCTGGATCCACCGTGTAGCAGCTCCCTAGCCAAATATTTTGCAGAATACTTATCCACTTTGACTCCTGAGCTTGGCCTTCCCAGATGGCACGAGCAGTTGTTAGTGTTCCTGCTGAAGTTTTATCGTACACCGTTTCATGTGCAAAATGCAAAGTTAAACTGGGATAAAATCCTGCTGGGTAGAAATATAAGAAGGATGTATAGGACCCTCCAATTTGACTTTCGAAATATTTTTTGGCACTCATTGCGGCCGCAAAAAGTGGGAACAGATCTTTTCGATGTAATTGCACAGTAGTTAGAAGTGCCTCGTCTGCCTCTGATGGTAGAACCCCTAGCAAATAATCGACGTCATGTTTGCGGCATGCTGCATCTGTGAATAATATCAACACAAAAATTATAAAATTAATTTTCACAAATTTGACTTGGTTAGTGTATGAGCATAAATTGGGCAACAATTACCAACAGCATTTATTGGGCCACCGAGATCATCCTGCTTCTCAATATCGGTGGCAGGCCCGCAATATCTTAATTAATACCAATAATAAAATTATGTTAATAAAGAATCATTTCATAAAGATTCCAATCGCAACTTCAAAAATAAAAAAACTCATCCAAAATAACCAATTACCTATATCCAGGGAGATTGAAAGGTAATCCGCTTGGCGCCTTTTTAACTTTAGCTTTCTCCAAGGAAAGTATAATACCACGTGGGCGTCGGAGAGATCCAGGATGGAAAAATGCATCTTGACGAAGATGAAAGCAAGATGGCAATTTACCTTCGTTGGTAGGAATAAACGTGTGCTTTCTGGCAAAGAAGGCTGAATGCAGGAGACTTGTGTAGTTGAACCTGATGCATGATATTTGGTTGCACAGAATTAGAACTGTGCATGCAGAAGGAAGAGGAGTAGTGCCTTGAATAGCTTTAGTTACTGCTTGCTTGGTGGTACAGTTCTTCGTTTCAGCCGCTATATTACAATAAGTGTCACTAATTTTTTCCTGAGTTAAGTCGGATAGTTTATTGGATGGAAATGTGTGGTTGGCGTTTGAAATTGTGATGTTATTTAGTAGATAACGGCTGGCATCCACGAAACTTTTAAAATAAAAAGTTACATAGCTTTCACTTCCCCATACCCGTATCTTTTTATTTTCATACTCTACTTCTTCAATTTTGATAGTGTCACTGAAGAACATAACAGTTTCATTAATTTCCATACACATCGTTTGATTACATATCAGAAATCCACTGCAATTGGATGGTAATGTCTCCTTGAACCAGATAACCAATCCACCCAGGTTATCCGTCTCATCACACACAACTTTAACCTGTTTATCTATTTCTATTTTATCGACATTCGCGCAACTTTTACCACAAACACAATGAACTATATATAACACATACAGTGTTCCATAAATTAAGTTATGCAACGTCATCTTCAATTTTAAAAATTAATAATTGAGCGGATACCAGTAAGTACAAACTCCAAAACTTAAATTTCAAAATGTCGACTGGAGAAGCCAGCAAGGATAAGGGGTCTCCCATCACCTCATATATTTATAATGCATCAGTTTTTAGGGGATATTCATCACCCCAACCATTAACCCAATCCTTCCCCAAACAAGATGGTGCATAAAGATATGTATATGAGAAAGGGACCAGTTTATACAAACATAAGTATGCTGCCTGAGACAGGCTATGAAGCCTGGTTACCATGGTTACTATGTTGACCCTTCAGGGACCCTTAACTCTTGACCTATAGGTCAAAAAAATTCAGGAAAATATTTTTATGCTTGCCCTTTGCCAGGGGATTAATTTGATACCCCACTTGCATGGGGTTACCATGGTTACTATTTTGACCCTTCGGGGGCCCTTAACTCTTGACCTGAGGGTCAAAAAAATCCAGAAAAATATTTTTTGGGTTCCCCTTGTCCAGGGGATTAATTTGATACCCCACTTGCCTTTAGTTGTGAGGGAATGATATTTAACCCTTCAAGGGCTCCTAGTTCACGACTCAAGGGTCATAAAAATTTATAAAAATATTTTTCTGGTTCCCCTGGTCCAGGGGATTAATTTGATACCCCATTTGCATGGGGTTATCAGGGAACGCTATTTGACCCTTCAGGGGCCCTTAATTCATGACCCAGGGGTCATAGAACGCTAAAAATAATTTTTCTATACTATTCCCATGCTAGACTTTTATTTTGGACCAGTTTGGAGGAAAAAATTTTTTTGACCGGTGACGTCGTGAAATTAATGCTACAAAGCGGTGTAATAAGTCTGCAGGGTTAGAACTTCATCCACAGTATTGTGAACTGTTGGTGCTCCTGCTGTGGTTTAGTTCGTTTAGTCAGTCGGAATTTGGTGGACGATGGACGATTTATTTGTCATTATTATAATTTTGTTTGTTTTATTTAATGATTACATGGTCATACATTTAACATTCGGCTGTGGTTTGGTTAGTTGGTTAGTTGGATTGGATGTCGCATGGTTCTTAGCTCAGCTTATCAGTTTCCCGGAAGTTATTGACACCAGAAGAAAAGAAAGAGGGATAGCGAGTTTAGTAGGGAATTCTTATGAATATTTACTAATTTGTCTTGTCGCCAATGTGTTGACGCTTAGTTTTAAATGATATGAAGCGTTGCTGCTGTTACACTTTGTTTTTCTGTCTGGTTTCATATATAATTATTACTAAAGGCGCATCAAGTTTTATGCGTGACGAATATAATTATTCGGTTTGAAGTGGTGTCTTCTTGGGACAAATGATATTAAATGCTTGCCGGAATAATAAGCTGTTGCTGCTGCTTTGTTGATATGTAAAAGGAAATTAGAGCGTGTCTCGTATGGGATAGATTAAGGAAATATACATACATATGTACACATTAAACTTGGTTTTCTGGAAATTTATTAAGAAATGGGATCAGATGAGGCAAAATGAGACGAATTGTGGTCTTGATTGAAGGATTGTAATACGCTGATTTTGGTACAAATTTTATGAATGCTATTCAAGATTTATGATGTTATTGACATGATAAAATAGCTTGGTTTTCTGGAAATTTAATGAAAGAAATGCGATCCGATGAGGCCAAATTGTGGATTTAGTTAAACGAGTGTAACATGATGAGTTTGGTACAAATTTTATGAATGCTATTCAAGATTTATGATGTTATCGACATGATAAAACAGCTAAATGCTTGGTTTTCCGGAAATTTAATTGGATCCGATGAGGCAAAATGAGACAAATAATAGTTTTGAAACGAGCAGCGTAACATGATTTTTGTGCTTATGACTGATATTCGAGATTTATGATGTTATTGACATGATAAAATTAGTACCTGTGTCAGAAACTAAGCAGTTGCGTGTCAATTGGAATTGAATTAAAAGTAGGAAAGAAATGGGATCTTCCGACGAGGCAAAATGAGACAAATTGTGTTGTCGGTGTAAATTTACTGAATCTTACTTAGGTATTCAAATTTGCAATGTTACTGGCATGATAAAATTAGCAATTGTGTTCTTTTTTACGGAGGAGGAAGACGCAAATTTTCTGTGAATTGGTGACTGACTGACTTTTTATTTTTCATGGCTCGTTGCAGTTTTGCCAAATTGATTTCACTGCGAATTGTCTTCAAATTTAACTCGATGAGGCAAAATGAGACAAATTGTGCTTTCAGTTGAAGAAGCGTAGGATGAAGTTTCATAAATCAGGATTTTTAATGTTGTTGACATGATAAAATTGTAATTACGGCTTTTTTGCCTGTCAATGGGTGACTTTTTGTTTTTCATGGCTCGCTGCGGTTTTGCAGGATTGATTTCTTCACTGTGAGAATTGTCTTAAAGATATTTAACACGTGTTTTTCCAACGAGTTGGCTGACGTGACTGAAATTGGATCTCGATATTTTGACACGTTTGCATTTCATGGTTCATTATGTGTACGAAAAAAGTGGGTAAAGCTGGCATAATTTATTTATAAGTAGGCGAGTTTTATTTGCACTGGTTTATCCTTATGTATCATTTATTATACATATTTGTTAGGGGCAAATGTTTAGATAAAATTTTTGCATTGAATCAATTCTTGGAAATTTGTAAATTAGATTGCTTTTGATGAATATGTAAGTTTAGTTGCATGGTTTATTTTGCGTATGAAAAAAGGGTGGAATACATAATTAAGTAAGTTGTGTATAAAACATGAATTTTATTTGGACTAGTTTGTTCTTATCCTTATGATGGATGGCATGAAAAGCTCGTCATTTATTATTTTGATTTGTTGGAGCATATAAATATTTGGAGTAGAATTAATAAATTCTTGGAAATTTGTAAATTAGATTCGTTCTGATGCGTAAATTTAGTTGGGGTTGGATTGAATAATTATTGAAAATCACGATATCTTCACCTACTGTTGAGCATTTATATAATTTTATCATATCGATGACGCGGAAGTTGAGCTAAATTGTAGAAAAATAATTGTGGAAGAAGAACGTGGGATGATTTTGATGGAATTTGAAGAATATATTGCAGGAATTAATAATGTGTAGGAGGGTTAAGGTTCATGAGGTTATTTACTCCCACCACACCCACCCACGGAACTGGCATGATTTTTAAAAAATTCGCAAAAAAAATCCAATATTGCTCGGGGTTTGATAGTTTTTCGATTTTCTTTCTCCCAGATTCAGGTTTTGAATTGTTTTCTGTTTTTCAATGTGATTTTTTTGATTTGTATATGAATTTGTTGTTATAAAATACTTTATTTCAATTAATAAGCAGCTGACAAGAAGATACGTCGAAAAGAAATAGAATTGATGACAGAAAAAGAAACGGAACCACATTTCCAGATCTGATAACATTTATGTTCGAATTACTCGTTTACTTTCACTCTCCAGCTTTCACTTTTCAGTATTCAGTCGCCTTCTTCTCTCAATGTGAAATGTGACGACATAACAAAATTGAGATTATTGAACTGCTCCTTCATTGAGAAGGATGATATTCGACTCGTGAAAGAAATGGATGTTGAATTGAAGAAAGTTTTTTGCAAAAAGTAAAGTCATCTCCCACGCACAATAATATCGATTTCATCGCATTTTTCTATTTACTAATCTGCTCAAAGTATTATTTAAATATTTGCACGTGATGTAATCGTGTCAAGCTTCGTGGTGGGTGTGTGCATGCGTGGGTGTTGGAGGAGGAGGAGTGGCAGTCAATTTATACAAAAAATACTGTAATAAAAACATTGGGTTTATTTTGAGAAAAGTAAGTAAATTATGAGATCAGATTAATCGCCATGTTTTTTTTCGGGTGTCGGATATTTTGGGGTGAAAGTTAACTTGTTCAGTGGCGAAGGAGGGTGGCAGTCAATTTATAAAAAATATAAGCATTGGGTTTATTTTAACCCAGAAAATTATGAGATCAGATTAATCGCCATGTTTTTTGGGTGTCAGATCAGTTCCGGCGGATATTTTGGGGTGGTGGGTGAAAGTTCGGCGGTGTACATTTCCACATCCAGACTAAGGCCAACAATAGAGTAAAAGTAAAGGTTGGAGACTAAGTAATTAATTAATTGATTGATTGGCTCTCACTTGGTAATTAATTTAGTTTCTGGAACGTTTATATGTACACACAAGGGATTTTACGCGTTCGTCTTGTTTCGCACTTTCCCACCTGGATAATCAATTAATTATCGGTATTGTGCTATTTCTACGTATCTAAATACTTCGGAGAGGTGAAAGTACTTGATTTTGTGGGAAACTAACTTGTTGGTACACACAAAGGTGACGCAAGTCGGGTAAATATAAATGAATGAATCATACCATTCTAGAAGTTTGGTTGCAGGTGAATGTCAATTATTTATTGAATAGTGTGAGAAGCTGCTTAGTGTGATCGTTTTGTCCGTCCGTCCGTCTGTCCGTCGGTGAGCAGGATATCTTCAAAACGCTTCAAGATAGTCAAAACCGGTTTTGTACTTGTGCTTATAATTTTTATTTTGAAAATGGCGTCCCTGCGGTCAAGGTCAAGGTCACCTGGCGTGAGTGAGGTCAAACGCCAGGGGACCTTAATTGGACCTGAATTTTTATATGTGGTAGCATTTTAAAGGAAATTTCATTACGGATTCAACGCTGTCAATGTTTTTAACCTATGACCGTGAGGATGAGGTCAAAGGTCACAAGATGCATAATTGCAATATGGAACCATTTTAAAGGAAATTTCAATCGCTTTTCCGCTACTTTTGTATGTTCGTTCGGCACGATTTTATTTATTGCGGGTGGTGGTATGGTGGAATGTCAAAATTACAAGGTATCAGACACGCTAAGTCGCAAAGTTATGTGGGTGTAACAGGTGGAGTCAGAAAGTAATCAAAGTTTTTTTTTGTGCGTGTCATGTTTTGATGGATGACGGAAGAACGATACTAATTTGTGTCTGGCCTCTTGAGAGAGAGAGAAAGAAAGGAATTGATTATTGCCCCCTCAATATAACGGAAATCAGGTCATATAATACTTATGCAATGATTGGATTCGTGCAGAAAAGATGGGGATATTTCCGTGTCGATTTTTTGCATTATTGCCGCACGTACAAGTTTTTTTGCACTTTTTCCAAATGAAATTTTGACGTATGTACAAGTTTTGGAGATTTGTTCTTATGTTTTTTGTACTCTTCTTGCAGATGAATGTTGCCTTCTTCCGAGCGAAGTTCAGATCCCGAACCATACGGCGTACTGTCCCACGAAAAGTTTGGGAATGTCTTCGAGCATCCTGTTCTCGAAGGGAAGTCCGCATCAGGTAAATTCTACAGGTTTCTTGATGTTGGGGAGATTTTGAGAATGAGGAGAAAGTTTTGTGGGTGACTAATTTCTATGCAAGAAATTAGTCATTTTGTGGAATAAGCAGAACTTACTTAATTATGTCGGTAAATAAATTCCGGGTAGAGAGAGACACCCACACTGCCTAATTATACCAGATTATTACCTATTTTCCATCATTTCTGTAAACAAGTTCCACTTCCAGGAAGGAAATTGAGCGAGTTCCTTCTCCTCTAGTCTTAATAATGTTGAGACAAAGGATGTATCACAAAAGTGGAAAATTTTGTACATGATTGTTATCATTTTGTAGTTTCAGTTTGGCGTGCTCCCTCTGAAGTGGTGGGTGGGCGTGGAGGCGAATGGAAACTGGATGGATGGACTCCGACTCTTATGGCTGGGACGAAATCCGGCCGGAGTTAAGATTTGTAATAGGTGAGTTTTTAGCTTTGGGAGGAATTAGTACCTAAGATTGATAATAAAAAGGGGAGAAATTATGGGTTGATGACTGTCAGTGGGGGCGGAAGTTGGGGGGACAGAAGGGGATATTTGGGATTGAAGGATTTATGACGGACTTATTAACATGGGAAATGTACGATTTCGCCGAATTTCTTGGGGGGGGGGGGGCACCTGCTTCTGCCGCCAATGGTGCATACCTGTTCAAAAATTTAGTATTCATTCAAAAGTCAGTCATCCCGATTTCTGACTGAAAATTTTCATTCACATTCAGTCATTTTCGTTCAAATTCATTTCATTTCACTTCATCTGACTTCATTTATTTCACCCCATGTATTAAGCATAGGGTGAAAAATAAAATGAGTGAAAAATTCTTTCATTCACAGTCATTCATCTGAAATGAAGGAATCCTTCAGTCGTTTTCATTCAAATGACAGTAGTTTCATTTTCATTACCTATCATAATCAGTCAAATGAATGAAAGTGAACAGGTATGCAATGGTGACTGATGGTTAACAAATAACTGGTCGCCAACCTTAACTCGTCGATGACCAATTTGCACAGCAGAACAATTTAAACATGAATATTTTATTTGCAGATGCGGCTGTACAACCCTGCTCAGCCTGCCGCCACGTTCCACGGCAAATAAGGCGTGGGATCAACGCTGGCAAAAATGCTGTCCTTGTGGCGGACGTTGGAAAGTGCCTGCCTTTCTTCCCCAACCGAAAGCAGCAGATGCAGATTTTCTGAACCATCTCTAACCCACGAGGACTTTATGAAACAAAATGACATTTTTCTATCCGGAGAAAGTTTAAAAATCAATATTTTACGATAACATTACTTATATCATGCATAATTTATATTTAAATTAGTTCCATTAGAATGTAGTTAGTTACGCACGTACTCGACTTTTTTTGTGGCATGTTGACATTTCTCTGAAGAATTTGTACGCTTCTTTTCCCATCCACCTTTTTCATGGGTTTTTTTTTGTCTCTTTCTTCATGATTATGACTACGTAGATTGTACGGAAAATGGCATATTTCTTGAATATGTTCCTACCCTGGAAATGTTACATATTGCGTATTTACATATTAAGTTGGTGCCCTTCTCTTTTTAGCCCCGAGTCAGGGCTTATGTACGGGTCATGATTGTATGTCTGTCTGTGTGTCGATTATGCCCGTAAAACTTATCCAATTGATTTACAATTTTGAACATATGTAGAACGTGCAAAATTTCGAATCAAATTCGAAGATGAAAAGCAAAATGTGTCGAAAAATAAATAAAAAACTTGTAGTCGTATTATGCCACCTCAATTCTTAGAAACTCCCTGACTCGGGCTGCACTTTGGTTTTTTTTTGTAGTAAAACACTTCCGGGAAAGGAAGTAAAAAATGACAAAAAGAGTCGAGACATTTAGGTTATTCGAATAGTTAATCTTTTTACGTTTAAATTTAAATTGTTTTTGTGAATGTAATGACAAAATAAAAGGTGAAACGGAATTTTGTGTAATTTTTTTTTCTTATCAGAGCGTGACCAACCAAGCAGCATAAATAAGTTTCCTTCACGGAGCGGAAGTCCATTCAAAATTTTGAAACTAAATTTTCTTTCACTAAACCACCCACACCGTATTTTTCCACTCTGGAGAATTTCATTTTCATTTTCGTCATCATGAAACAAAAAGTTAATTCAAATTCAATCCGCACGAAGAGAAAGCTTTGGTAAGATAAGCACGAGGACGACAATGGGCTTAACTCCCCACGCGTGGAATGGATGGTTTTACTTATCTGCGTCATCTTTACATATGTATGCATGCTAACGGATTACCTTTGTTATCAGAACGGTGACGAGGATGAGATGAGATGAACAGGGGGTGGATATGTATTTATTTTCAGGTTTTTTCATATGGGATAGTGAACGATGGTCAAATCTTGTGGGTGTATTGTCTAACTCGTAAAGAGCACGAAAATTTCGAAATATTTTTAAGTATTGGAATATATTTTGAGGTTTCCAGATTGATACATAAATATTTCCGGTATTATTTGAAAAATATTGAAATCTTTTAGATATTTTTTTCGAAAATATATATGTTTTGTAAGTATTTAAACGATGTGAGACGAAATTATTTTGATCAAATAAATTCTACCACAAAAAATCCAGAGCTTTTTGTAGGAATGAGAAATAACGGTATAGTGCAAAAATTTGGTGACCCCGGTCTCCATCGAAGGAAACATTTCCCGGTATAGCCCCAGACGTACTCCTTTGTACTACTCGACCACCATATCAATGCACCCGTCAAATCTCACTCATACTTTTCTTCCCCACATTTTTCTTCTGTTTTATTGTTTTTTTTGTACATTTTTTAAATATGTTGGAATATTTCTGCTATTATTTAAAAATACGTAAATCTTTTACAAATTTTTTTCGAAAATACGTATGTATACATATTTTGTAAATGTTTCAACGATACGAGACGATTTTTTTGCCCGTAGAAATTCCACCACAAAAAATACAGCGTTTTATTCAGAAGTCAAAATTTTGTGAAAATTTTGTAAAAATTTTATATTTTCAATTTTTCTTGTTTACATATTTCGTGCATATACGTTTTTTTCCGTAAATATTAAGCATATGTATATTTCAGCGATTAAATACATAGCCGTCCTCTGATGATGATAATCTTACCGTGTGGACAGTGGTGGTCTGGTCTGGTGACGAAGAATTACACAAGGATTTTCTTTGTCCATCTGTCTAGTTGACTTTTACTTTTTGGAATTAATTAGTTTTCGAAACTCTGCTCTTTAAAATCTTCAAAAGTTTGGGGTGAATAATGGAATGAAAATAAAATAATGGATTTGGTTTAGCAGAAGGAAAGCCTTTTGGGAAGGTATTTTTAGATGGAAGATTAAAATCTGGGTCGGAACGGACGACAATTAATTTAATTTGGAACTGATGGATGATAAAGTTTTTTTATAGAATTTTTAATATTTGGAGAAACGATAGGTAAGAAATTCGTGGGAAAAAATACGTAAAACTTCCTATTTTTACATTTATTTGGAAATATTTTTTTTCATACGTATTTTGACCAGGTGAATGATTTGTGTAAACGTTGACAAAGTAAAAATTTGGTGAAACAAAAAATACCTTAAAATTCAGATTTTTATATTTCGTAAATTTTTTTTTCATAAATACATATTTCGACCATGTAAATGATTTATTTAAACGCTGACGAAATAAAAATACTTATTTTATTTGATTTTTCAAAAGGATAACTTTTCAAGAACATCTTCAAAATTTTTAGAAGAATTTGATCAATATTTATTTCCAATGTGTACAATTATATGTGCAAAATACTTTTATTGATGTAAATTTATGCAAAATTATATACTAGTTGTATTTTTATTTTGCACATAAATCCTCATGCTTATACCTGACTACCTGTTATACTTGTTGGGTTCTTAATTTAGCAAATTTTTTATCAATGGCGTAGAAATCAATCAATCAATTTATTAAATGATATATAGCATTTGCCCGTCATCATGAATAAAATTATGATGTAGAACCAAATTATGATGGCGTAGAAAATCAATTTTGAAGAATCGTTCCAAACTCACTTTTCAATTACACTTATGCGAAAAACATGCTCAAAAAGGCAGAAAACTTGATAAAAATATTCTAAAAAGGGATACGAACTTCCTCAATAAATGCAAAATATTGACAATACATTGTTCCAAATTGTCTGTTTTTGCAGAATAAATCAAAAAAAATACAATTGTTCGCAATCTACAAAATATTGAAAAAAGCATAATAATCTCCCCAAAAAACGCAAAGTATTGACAATACATCGTCTCAAAATCGTATTTTTCGAACTAAAACCCAAAAAATACAGGTCGTGCTGGTGGGATTATTGGGTGCGAGGAATCGTGTCTAACAAGAGAGAGAGAAAGAGATAACTGATTAGAAATAATAATACTACAATTATCTGCATGACGCAAAAACGGACGGGAAACACACCTCCTCCAGTCCCAGAATCCCAGAATCGGATTGATTAGCAGATCAAACAAATTACTTTGGTTTACGTTCAATTAGTTGCGTTTACTTTTTTTGGGGGGGTAATAAATCCAATCCAGCCGGGCTAAACTAGTCCACCAGCAGGTGACCTGACCACCATGCCATCGTCGTCACCAAAATTTGGGCAGATTTCCTACCACTACTTTCACCACCCGATAGAAAACTGTGACAATGTGAGAGGAAAAAAACACGTGGGTGGATTGGATAACTTGTCCAGCAGATAACATCTTCTTTCATAATGACATACAAAAAGGTTTCCATTTTACATGGCATGATGCAATTGGGGCAAAGTGAGATAACGTCACGTCTTCGGACAACAATAGAATCGGGGGTGAGGGGAGATTTGTATAGAAAGTTTGACTTATTATTATGCGAATTGAACTGTGACAATGTAAAAAAAAACGCGTGGGTGGATTAGATGGATGAACGGATAGCTTGCCCAGAAGATAACCCACGCATAACGATAACGAACAGAAAGGTATGCATTATATTAACTATTGGGGGCCAAGTGACATCTGATAACCTGTCGTCTTCGGATAACATGATACAGTCGGGGGCGAGGTGAGATTTGTGGAGAAAGTTTGACTTATTATATACATACAAATTGCTCTCTCTCTTAATCTCTTATGCTTTCATAGCAGATATAAATGTATGCACTACAATGATAATATTGGGGGCAAAGTGAGATCAGATAACGTCACATCTTCGGATAACATCAGAGTGTGATGTAATCGGGGGCGAGGTTTGTAGAGAAGGTTCGGTCATATTGGGGACTTATTATACTAATTATAATCTTGAGGGTGATGACCAACGAAATTTTGTTAAAGGGTGGTTTTGTTGGTTTATGACGTGTCGTCACGCCTTGTGACAATTTTATTACGTCCACGTCGTCCACCAAAACTGTCCACCGTCACGTTTCTTTCAACCGGGTATCAATATTCCACTCCCGAAGTATCAATTCATCGGGGGGAAAGTATGTATGCAAATGTCCAGTCGAGCCAAATTTCTCTCCCACCTGTTTTCTCACCTCGCACCTCATTTGCATCGTCATCACGATTTGAATACATACTTCGTGGTGTGGTTAGATACCAAAATCCGGGTCTGCTTTCTACCCACTTTTACTCCGGGGATGATAAAACGGAGAGCAGAGTCTCGTCCCAGACACGCTACCCGTCTCATCTCCCATCCATCCATCCACTCCACCACCGTCTCAACTTGCCTCACTTTCACCCAATACTCTCCAAGAAAGGGGCCGACCGAGACTGGACAAAGTTGGGATAAGAGTGAAGAAGAATTGAGAAGAGATTTTATTGAGAAGAAATTTATTTTAGTGGAGTTTCGGAAACTTTTCAAAATACGGAATTGATCAGAAATATATATTCGTAAATAAACTAGGATTTTAAGGTGAGTATAAAAATTATTGGGAGATTTTGACGACGAATTTTGTTTCTGGAGAAATTCAATGCTCATATTATCTCATCAAGATAGAGTTAACGGGTGATTGTCAAATTTCAAATTTTTAACAAAATTGAATGTTTTATTTGATCGCAGTTTTCAACTTTTTTTATTTTCACAAATTTAGAAGGTACGTAGAAAATTATTGTCGGATTTTGGCCACGAATTGTATTTCTGGAAAAAGTTCAAGTACGTTGTGCTCATGAAGATCTCGAGTTTTGCGATGTCTTGTTTTTTTGGACAAATTTGAATTTAAAAAAATACCAATATTCTATTTGATCTCATTTTTTCAACTTAAAAAAAATATATTTTCGTAGATTTGGAAGATTAGTTAAAAAAATTGGTAGATTTTGGGGGCAAATTATATTTTAGGGGAAAGATTAATTACAGAATATACTCATAAAGATAGGTCTTGATAATTTTCGTGTTTTTTTACTAATAAAAAAAATAATTTCATAAATAATTTATTTATTTCAATTTTTTTTAATTATTTGGGCAAATTTAAAAGGTAAGTTTAAATTAATGGCGCATTTTGGCGACGCATTCTATTTCTGGAAAAGTTTAAGCATGTTACATACTCATCCAGATCTCTAACACTGCTAAATCTTCTGTTTTTCTTGGAAAAATTTCAATTTTTTTGGAAAAATTCAACATTTTATTTCATATCGGTTTTCAATTTTTTTATATTTTGGCAGATTTGAGTATAAATTATGATTTTGGCGACGAATTCTATTTCTGGAAAAAGATTAAGTGCGTTATATTCACCAAGATGTCAATCTTTGCTTGTTTTGTGTTTTTTTAGACCAATTTCATTTTTTTGAAAAAAATCAATATTTTATTTGATCTCATCTCACTTTTCAACTTTTTAAAAAATATTTTCGCAGATTTAGAAGAGATTTAGAAGAGAATTTTGAGTAGAAAATTATTGATAAATTTTGGCGACGAATTCTATTTCTTGAGAAAGTTTAATTCAGTACTATGCAAAGAAAGGTTGCATGGCATTGCCATAAATGTTCATATTTTTTTTACCAATTTCAATTTTCTGATAAATTTCATAAAAATTTTAGTTTATCTTACTTTCCAATTTTTTCTTTATTTTGGAGGTTTAGAAGCTGAGTGTAAATTATTGTCGATTTTGGCGACTAATTGTTTTTCTGGGGAATGTTTAATTATATAATATTCTGATAAAGATTGTTTTTGGACCATTAAAATTTTTTGAAAAATTTCAATACTATAGATTTGCTCTTATTTTTTCATTTTTTTAAATTTTCACAACCACAAATTACTGATCGATTAGGAATAATTTGAAAAATGTGTAAAATTATTTACTTTGGTTTTCCTTGATTTTTACCAAAAACGATTTTTTACCAGCTTTTACAAAAATAGATAGATTTTAACGACGAATTCAGTTTCTGGAAAAAGTTAATAATTCACAAGGCTTAAGAAGATTATTTTTTATTTTATATGAAATTTCGTGTTTTTTCACCATTTCAAATTTTAGAAAAATTTCATAAAAATCTTATTTTATCTTATTTCCCACCTTTGTCCCTATTTTGGCAGGTTTAAAAGCTGGGCGCAAATTATTGTCGGATTTTTGCGATTAATTAATTATATTTCTAGCAAAATAGTTTAACGACTTGCTATTTATTAAGATCAATTTCTTCGGGATTTTGGACGAGTTTAAATTTTTTGATAAATTTTGTAAAATATTTTATTCGATCTCACTTTCCAATTTGTTTTTAAATATATTTTCGATCTCACTTTCCTTGTTTTTAAATTTTCGCAAATTTTTGTAAAAATTCTTGTTGTAGTTTTGCGACGAATTCCATTTCTGGAAAAGGTTTAAGTTAATAATAGTTATCAAGATGTATGAACTGTATTTTTTTTAATGAATTTCAATTTTTCGATAAATTTCATAAATATTTTATTTGATCTCACTTTCTAAATTTTTTGGATTTTTTTTGCAGATTTAGAATGCATCCCAAAGCATCGTCACCTTCCTCTCAGACGTCGACGTGCATCCATTGGTCGTCGTCATCGTCGATGCCACCCATGTCGAAAGTCCTGCTCGTGACGTTGGCCATGCTGACGCTGTACAGCGTGCTGGTCAGTGGGGCTGGCTATTTGGGTCCGCGCTACGGCAAGAGGCTGCCACTCCCGATGCAAGGTTAGAACATATTTCGTACTTTTATTTACTAAAATATGAACAATATTCCAGTCATAAAAAAAATCGTTTCAGAAATTTGTAAAATTTTGTGTCTTGATTTTTTCATAATTCACCAAAAATGTTATTTCTTAGCGAAAATGAAACCAAATTCCAAACTCTATGTAGTGAGGGAAAGGTGGAAAGTTTTTATGAAAAATATGTCGTATAAAAAATAATTTGAAAAATATCACATTTTGTACATTTATTTTTTCATAAATTACCAAAAATGTTATTTCTTGACGAAAATGAAACCAAATTCTATGTAGTGAGGGAAAGGTGGATAGTTTTTACGAAAAATAAGTCATACAAAAAATAGTTTGAAAAATATCACTTGATTTTTTCATAATTTACTAAAGTTCCAATTTTTTTCGGGAATGAAACCAGTAGTCGGGAAAGGTATAAAAATAGATGGAAAAAATGTCCCGTATTCTATTTTAATTCTTGACATTTTCCTCTAGCTTAAAATACTTATTTCCGTAATTAATTACCTAATTTACACATGAATACGGGATTGCGTAATAAGAAACTGGGATACTTAATTTAGGCTTTGATGACGCCGCTTTCTCTCTAATTTGGATGCACCAATTAGTGGTTTGGTTTGGGTCTGGTATTATTTTCTCCACAGCAGGTGGTTGGGTTCACTCACAATGGAGGTCTCCCAACGTATGCTCACAGATTTGGACCAAACTAGCGTCAATCGATCACAAATATAATTAGTATGAAATTTGCAAATGGAACTATCCACCAATGCTCAAGTTTAGCAGAGATATTTGCATAAAAACAGCAGAAAACGCACCCTCAAGACTGGCAAATTTTTAATTTTCCGAATTTACTGCGCATTTTTTCAGCTTTTTATGCAAATATCTCCGCCAATCCTGCGCAGTGACAGATAGTTCCATTTGCAAATTTCATACTAATTATATTTGTGATCGATTGACACTAGTTTGGTCCAAATCTGTGAGCATACGTTGGGAGACCTCCGTTGTGAGATGTGCTGCATTTGTTTAGGAAAGTTGAATAAGTGGTTTTTCTCGTCATTGGGATACTTTCTCTATAGAAAAAGTATCCCAATATAGAGAAATATATATATTTCCGCGTGACCAGTTAGGTAGTGTCTCTTTTTTAAGAGCAGCACGTCTCATCGAACAGAAATCTGCTTAGTAAATTTATTTGATTTACGTACATAACTTTGTCATTATTTACGTATTAATTTCGAAATATTTCATTTATTTTATTTTCGAAATATTTCTGTGTGACAGTTTTTTTCTCAAAAATCTTTTTGGAGAATAAAGCTTTGTTTCTTGTGGGTTTGCCACATTTCTTGCACTTCAAAGCAATAACTGAGAAGTGCAAAAAAGTGGGAGAAATGTGCACCACCTAGCCACGTGCCGTATGAAGTATTTACAGCGGCGGGGCGTAGTTTCTTGCGCTTTTAAGGTCAAAATACGCGCAAAAACCGGTCAAATTCTTCCCCTTATTTCTTGAAAGTCGTTACTTACACCAGAAACACTGCATGTACACAATCTTACAAATTGGCCTGATTATTTCCGTACGCATTTTTTTAATTACGCACTTATGTCATGTATCGTGTGTAAATATGCAAATATTAGAAGTATGTATGTACATAAGCAGTCTTATAGAAACAATAAGGACCTGATTTCACCCTCGCTTTGATCTCTGCCAATTTGTGAGGCCATATAATAATCCCATTTTCATTTGGGAGTGTATAAAAGTACAAAAAATAGGGAAAGTTGGCTTCTTTCTTTCTAGCTCATCGTTATATGTACATACACAACTTTGCAGACAGATTAGATTATGTAGATACATCGTGTCACGTGGGGTGTGTCAGAGAGTTCAGTAAACTAAACTAAACTAACACAATGACCCAATCTTACTCATCTTCAGAGATGGAGGAGGCAATAATAAGTTTTTGTTTCCGCAGTGGATACAACTTTTTCTATAAAAAAATGCATGGAACTAGATACAAAAGTGCAAAAAATAGAAATGTGGGTCTCGCTGTCTACACATTTGATCCAGTGTTTCGTTTCTTGCGCATTTCTTGGACAGGGAAGAAAGTGCAAGAAATGAAGGGTGCACGAAACTGGGAGAAAGTGCAAGAAATATGTGCCATCCAGTCACGCGCCGTATGAAGTAGAGGTTTCTAGCATCGTGCATTTCTTGCAGGTCAAAATATTCACCTGCAAGAAACTACTTTCTTTCCGTTATTTCTTGCACCCGAAACACTGAGCTGGATTGGATGTACCATGTCAAGAGAGGAATTGGTCATTTCTGGCCGTTAAAATTTATGCCCACATATGTATAGCCAATAAATGGGTAACATTTCCGGCACAAATTAATTATTAGTTTGGCAATTTATTTGCATGCCCTTGACATTGCACAACTCTACGCGTTTTTGGCTTGTTTGAGAGAGTAAAGTAAACTATGTATGTAACTTCAGATACATACATATGAAGTAAAATTATTATCTGTTAATCTTATTAAGGCGACATCATCACTATTAATTATTTTTTATTGGTGTGTAGCCCTTTCAATTAGGATTTTTAGAAAATATTTTTTTCAACATTTTTAAGTGAAATTTTTCATACGAGGACAGATTCGATTTAATCTGGTGGAATTATCATATGGGATGGAATTAGTGGTCTCAACGGTGCGGTTCGGTTCGGTTCTTGGAAGAACCGGTATGGAACCGAGAACCAGAATTGAAGAACCGAAACAGAACCGAACTATTTTTAGCTGGAACCGAACCGGAACCGGACCAAACCGTGACCGAACCGGCGGTTCGGGTCAAACCGGTAGTGTTATTAATATGCAATAAACAACAAACAATGCTAATTCACGTGTTTCTGATGAAATTTCACATGCAAGCCAATAACTTATCTGTATTTAAACAAGCAAATTCTAACACATGTCAACAGCAAAACCACTTATGTATGTATTATTGAAGTTAGAAAACAATTCCAAGTTTGGGGTGCAACCAAGTCAAAATTCCATTTTGGAAACTTTGGGGTGTGACCAAGTAAAAATTTCATTTTGGAAACATTGGGGGTGTAACCAAGTCAAAATTCCATTTTTGAAACATTTGGGGTGTGACCAAGTAAAAATTTCATTTTGGAAACATTGGGGGTGTAACCAAGTCAAAATTTCATTTTTGAAACTTTGGGGTGTGACCAAGTAAAGATTTCATTTTGGAAACATGGGGGGTGTAACCAAGTCAAAATTTCATTTTGGAAAGTTTGGGGTGCAGTCACGTCAAAATTTCATTTCGGAAACTTTTGGGGGTAAAAATTTCGTTTAGGAAACTTTGGGGGTGAAAATTTCATTTTGGAAACTTTGGAGGTGTCATCAAGTCCAAATTTGGTTTTGCAAACATTGTGGATGTAACTGTAACCAGGTCAAAATTTCGTTTTGGGTAACTTGGGGGGTGTGGCCATGTCAAAATTTCATTTTGGGAACTTTGGAGGTACGGCCACGTCAAAATTTCATTTTGGAAACTAGGTGTATTTCGGGAAATTCGTAAAACTTTTTCGGAAATATGATCAACTTCGCTAATGTATTTATGTGTGTAGTTCGGTTCAACCCGAACCGGCCGGTTCGGTTCGGTTCTCTAAGACTTGGAACCGGAACCGAACCGGTAATAAAAGTTTCGGTTCGGTTCGGTTCTCCGTATAAACCGGAACCGAACCGAGCCATCGGTTCAGGTTCGGTTCTATGAGAACCGAGAACCGTTGAGATCACTAGATGGAATAATGTCGCGTACATATACAGCAATAAATAGCGAGATGCTCCATTTCGTAGGATTTGAAAGAAGGGAAAATTGAGACGAAAAAATGCAAACTCAAGACCCGCATGTATTTAGTGGGGCCTTAAAATGAATGAAATGGGGCGACTTTCTCTCCGTGGAAAGTCCCAACTTTCCCGTGATTTTTGTAAACTTTTGCTGAAGAAGAAGTTTCTTGTATTTATTTCTTCCCTGGAATTTTCTAATGGTTTGTTGTTTTTTTTTGATAATATTGCAAAGGTTACGATATTTGCATTGTATTATGTACAAATTTGTATTATGTATTGTTTTCATGAGTAAACACGAAATTCTATTTTCGCAAAAGTTATGTATTATTGTATGACTCGTTCACATTTTCATCTTATCGGAAGTGGGTGACGTTTTAAATTTCAAAGTCATGCAAAATGTAAATATTTCCAAGTGTCCGCACTCCTCGCAAAAAAGATCGTTCGCTTTTCTCATTTTTAATGACGGATGACTTCTGAAAAAAAGAATGGATATGAATTCGAGAAGGGAAAATAAATAAAAGCGGTATCGAATATCGAATATTTTTTATGCGTAGGTGGAGAAGTGAGTCGAATCGTGGGACGTTCCTCCGGACCAAGAACGATACAATCCCGTTCTCAAGCCAGGTTTTATGCTGGCAGCCGATACGGTGGGAAGCGCAGTTATTGGCCCAGTTTGATGCAGAGTGGTAAGAAAAAAATTACTAAAATACGAAAATTTTCAAGAAAAGAAATTCAAATTTTTTTTCATCCATAAGAAACTTAAAGTTACGAAGAATTTTTTTAAAATTCGAAAATATTTTTCAGATGTCGATTCATCACTTGATTCCGGAGCTAATAATGCATCCCCGTACGATTGCGTTTACTTGCCGTACGTCGGAATTCGGTGTGGCGTTCTCAGGTAAAAAAAAAGATGTTTCATGTTTCATTAAATTTGGAATGTTTTGAATGTTTCATTAAATTTTGACCAATTTCTTCTGCATTTTGTCAGTAAATTTAAAATTACAAAAAAATTCTGAAAATTTCCATGAAATTTCACCAAAACTTCGTAAAATATCTAAGACTAGGGGTAATTATATAGTAAATTTGCACCATAATTTCTTTCGGCGTCAGGCTATTTAACCTCATAAATTTGGACACTTTTTGAAATGTCTATTCCAGAAATAATTTTGACCATTTTCAAATTCTATTGTAGCTAAATTAAAAATTTCTAAATTCGCAATAAGTTTCCAAAAAACACAATTCTAATAAAAATCATTAATATATCTGAAGAATTTGCAACTTCGCGTAATAAATTCAATTTCTTTTGACATCACACTATCACTAAATTTGAAGTTTTCGACACTTTTTGAAATTTCCAAATTTTTAATTTCATCCAAAATTCATAAAATCTGTTACAGGTCTGAATCAGCATTCAGTTCTGGCGGAAGTGACCACGACCCCGCGGAAGACATGGAAATGTCGCCGTCTTCTTCTTCATACGGCGGGGGGTCACCTTCCCTCACCCGAACCAGCATTATCGACACCGTTCCCTCGTCCGGATCCGGCAGCTCGGATAACTAACTTATCAATCTGTCAAAAATTTCAAAAAATGCATTTTTTCATAAAAAAATATTCAAAAAAACAAAACAAAAAACAAGTCCAGGCAGCAGCAAGCAAAAAATGGATGAATATTAGCGATATTTGCTTAGACTAGAATTTGCACAGGAAGAATATGTATGTGTCTATGTAGGAAAATAGATGTAGCCTTTTTCCTTCCATTGATTGATTACCGCTTATCTTACTTGATGATAACCTATAAATGGGGAATTTACTAATTCAATAAATTATATATGCGTGGAGGCGGAAAAGAGAAAGTAAACAGATACATTCATAACCCACAAATCGGGGAATTATTTAGGTAAATATTTTCCGGGTGGACATACAGATAAACACACATGAAATAAGCAAATATGTAAATAAGGACATAATATGTGTTTAATTTAACCCAGTTAAATAGTTAGTTACACACGTGGGGTGATTTATTATTAGAAGATAATTATTAATTATTAATTAACTTTTACCTTCATCTTCTCCATCTCTTGCAAAATAATGTCTGTAATTTCTTGGAAAATGTCATATCTTCTAAAAAATCTACATATGTAGTCAGTCATAAATTGTGAAATCTTGATGTACAGATAGGAAAATATGTATGTAATTGTTTCAGAATTTTGGAAATTCTTTTAAAAAATGTCATCTTAAATTTAAACAGTCAAAAATTGTGAAAGTTTAATGTACAGAAGAAAATATGTATGTAATAATTTCAAAATTTTGGGAATTCTTGAAAAAAATTCATCTTTCTAATGTCACATAGTCACAAATTGTGAAATCTTGATGTACAGGTAAGAAAATATGGATTAAGTAATTCCAGAATTTTGGAAATTCCAAGTATTTATTAAACTTTAGAATTAAATATGTGGGTTTTTTCTTCTTCTTAAAGATATGTATGTACATACGTAATTATTATGCAGCATAAAAAATATTGTGATTACACACAGTTCTTCTTAGAGAATTTATTTAACATTTTCTTAGATTTTAGATTTTAAAGTTACTTATTTATTACGAGAAATATTTAATACTCCAACAAATAAGTTGGGATTTATTCATGTAAATGTAACGCAAATGGTGAGAGATACATAAGTTTAATAAGTTTTATTAGTAAATTATAAACTTTTAGAGAAAGACACGTGGAATCAAAATTCCAATCCAATTTTCCACTGATTTTAATGATTTTTTTTTTAAAGAAATTTATTTATTTTGTGTTGCATGATTCTCAGTAAAAATTAAAAAATTAAGTGTGGCAGCAGCAGCATGAATAAATAAGGATAATTTTAGAATGTATGTATCAAAGTCAGTGTCAAAGTTCGAGAAAAGTTGGTGTAAGAAGAAAATAAAGTAAATAAATTTGATGATTGGAAAGTTTCTGGGAAAAAATAAAATTGGAAACTTATTTAGCACACGTTTTTTTTGCATTAAATAAATAAGAAGTTGATACAAAAATTTGATAAATTCCCGGAATTTTGCTTATTTATGTACATCAGAAACAAAAATATGTCCTTAAACAAAACTCGTGACTTATCCCTCGCAGGTCAAAGTTCGAGGGAAGTTGAAGAACAAAAATTAAATACATTTGATGATTGGAAAGTTTCTGGGAAAAATAAAATTGGAAACTTATTGAGCAAAGGTACATGTTTTTTTTGCATTAAATAAGTTGGTATAAAATTTGACAAAATCCCGGAATTTTGCCTATTTACATGGGAAACAAAAATACTTAAACAAAACTCATGCGACAAGACTCGCAGTTCAATAAACGATTGTTCCTTACGGTTTAAAATTAGATTTATTTTGAACCCATTATTCAATTCGGTTCAAATTTCATTCTCGTTTTATCCTCGCAAAGTTCAAGCATTATTTACAATACAGATATTTACACAACCTGGATTTTGATGGTTCGTTGGTCACTCTAAATGAAGCCATGCGTCCTAAAAAGCAATGACCGTGGAAGCCGTGGGGACATGTGGGGACAATAACATTATAAGATAGGGGAGGAAGGGATTTGTGTAACATGGGCAGATGATACGGACATCCAACAACCGTGGGGACATTGTCCCCATACCTGTTCAAAAATTTAGTTTTCATTCAAAAGTCAGTCATCCCGATTTCTGACTGAAGTTTTTCATTCACATTCACTCATTTTCTTTCAAATTCATTTCATTTCACTTCATCTAACTTCATTTCTTACTTCGCCCTATGTACTAAGAATAGGGTGAAAAATGAAATGCGTGAGAAATCCTTTCATTCACAGTCATTCATCTGAAATAAAGGAATCCTTCATTCATTTTCATTCAAATCATAGGAATTTCATTTTCATTCATTCACTATTACCATCATAATCACTCAAATGAATGAAGGTGAACAGGTATGATTGACCCTCTGTCGCCACCCTTCCGCGGGCATTGCTACCCAATGTGTGCAAACAACTTGTGGCCAAATGCGAACTCAAAATGAGACAAGGATCTAATCCAGTGAACTTATTTAGCCGAACGGGTATCATTTCATGTCAGTAAAAGTTCACGTTCAAGAATTACAATTTATACCACCGGAAGTATTACATTACATTCGTCACTAAACGATAATACCATGCGTCCTAAAAAGTTAGCTAATGTTTGAACTACAAACAAACAACTTGTGGGCAAATGGAACCGTGTAAATTCAAAAAGAGGACAAGAACTCAATCCAGTGACCTTATTTGCATATCGGAACGTGTGTTTACACAAGGAAAACAATAAATGTTACGGCCAAAAACACGGTAAAATCGATACTCATTCATTAATTAGTTGTGTATTAGACGTGACATTATTTTATCCGTCTAGCTTCACCTGTCAGTTAAATACTTTAAACGATTTATGTGTGCATGTTTACTTATTATGCTAATGAACTTTTGGTAAAAATAAGAGTGCAATGTGCGTGTCAAGAAAGTACGAGCAGTGTTTCGTTTCCTTCAGATTTGCTGCATTTCTTCCACTGTAAAGTAAGAAACGGGAGAAATGCGAGGTGCAAGAAATTGGGAGGAAGTGCACGAAATAAGCGTCATTTAGCCACGCGCTGTACGAAGTATTTACAGCGGCGGGGCGTAGTTTCTTGCACTGTGCATTTCTTCCAGGTCAAAATATTTACCTGCAAGAAACCACTTTCTCCCCCGTTATTTCTTGCACGTGGTTTCATTCACCCGAAACACTAATGATAAGTACGAGTATCATATAATATTAATAAGAAATAGTATTGTTTTTCTCGTTAGAACACAAAATAGTAGCGAAAATAGTCTTTAAATGCTTTATTTTTAATTGGACATGACCAACAATTCGTGATTAATTATTCTTATGCATGTATTTATCTAGTAGTACGAAACCCAGGGTGGTCTTTTAGGATACGCCGCCATCAATGTTTCCACCTGTTGGCGTGCCAATCTCTTCAAATACTCGAATTCTCTTGCCATCGCGATGTCCTTCTCGTTGGCGCCCAGCATGTCGTCGGACAGGGCGGGTTCGTGGTCTGCGTCCGGTTTTGGGACAGACTTCACCCGGTGCACGCGACTCCATCGGTTCAACGTGGTGGTTACGCCGTGGGTCAGGGTGCTCAGGGGCAGATGAGTCAAATCGGCGTGTTTTCCGTGGGCGTCCTAAAATTTTAAAGGAATAAAAAGCCGTGTAAGTTTTTTCCACTTGCAAGAAATAAGGGGGAGAAAGTGGTTTCTTGCAGGTAAATATTTTGACCCGCAAGAAATGCAAGGCGCAAGAAACCACGCCCCGCCGCGACAAATATTTCCTATGGCGCGTGGCGGGATGGCGCAAATTTCTTAGAATTTCTTGCAGTTTCGTGTACCTTGCATTTCTTGCACCTTGCATTTCTTGCGTTTCTGTGTAATAAACAACAGCAAGAAAGTGCGTTTTTGCAGCTACTTTGATTTGCAAGAATTATGTACACGACGCAAAAAAACTACGCCCGACCGCCATACTTCTTGCAATTTCTTGCACCCTGCATTTCTTGCGTTACTGCAAGAAATGTAGCAAATGTGGCAAACCCATAAGAAACTAAACACTGGGTGCAAGTAACCACGTGCGCAGCTGTTTTGACCTGCAAGAAATACACGGTGCAAGAAACTACAAATAGTTCAGACGGCGGGTGGCTTGATGATGCTTATTTCTTGCAGTTTCTTGCACTCACATTTCTTTCGTGGGTTGCTTTGCATTGCAAGAAATGTAGAAAACCCGGAAGAAACGGGACAAATGGGAAAAATAGTGAATTTCCATACCATACAAAACGCTTGGAAAACATGTTCCACTTCCCGTTTCGCAGCATCCAATCGACACTTGCATTCTTCAATGGAAACTCGAATTTCTTTCAGTTTGGTCATGAGTTCTTGTTCAGTTTTTAAAACGCCCTGCAAAAAAAATAATTTATGTTTCCTGAAATTTTTTGTAAAAAATAAAATTTACATACCTGAATTTCCAGGCGGACTTGTTGCTCTTGTGGGGACGTGATAATCATGGGGATGCCATGTTCGTCCAATAATCTCCCCTTAAATTTCCGATCCTGCTCCAAAATGTCGAGTTGGAGTTGTAAATGGGTCAATTTTCCCATTCCAATGGCCAAATTTTGTTGTGCTTCGTCATGATCGGTGAGTATTTTTCGGACGGCGTCCTGCTTTTGGGAAAATTGGTCCAAAACTTGGGATCCTGAATCACTCTTGATGAAATCGTTCCAACACTTTTCTTGAAACTGGTGCGCTTCGTGGTGGTCAGGAGTTTTTCGAGGTCTGGAAAAAATTGGGGAAATTTGGGTTAATTTTAAATTGTGAATACGAATTTTTCGGAAACTTTCAACCAATACGAATCATCTTTATTTTAAAGTGTAAATTTTTCAGAAAATGTGTATTAATTCAAATCATTTTAATTTTTAACCGTGAAATTTACGGAAAATTGCCATTAATTAGAATGATGTTAATTTATAAAAAAATGGTTACTTAATTTGGATCATTTTAATTTTAAATCGTTAATTTTTAGGAAACTTTGCATTAGTTTGAATTATTAAATTTTAAACTGTTAATTTTTCGGAAAATTTATTAATTAGTTGGGATCATTTTAATTTTAAACTGATAATTTTTTTTGGAAATTTTGTTAATTAATTGGGATCATTATAATTTTAAATCGTTAATTTTTGGGAAAATTGGCATTATTTCGATCCATTTTAATTTTAATCTTTGAATTTTTCAGGAATTGTTTGGCAATTCGATTTCATCATTGTTTTAAAACCATTTTTCGTTGTAGAATTAATCAAACTCGTTAATTAATTAATTAATTCGCTAATTAATTTTCCTTACTCGATCGACTTTGCCCTATTTTCCCTACTATTTCCTCCTCCATCTTCGAAATTGTCTCCATCCTCCGTCACGATTGAGGGGGCATCGATCTCCTCCGTGACGCCGTCCTCGCCCGGAACGGTGACGATGGCGCTGTTAAATTGCGGGGATTTTTCGCCACCGCCCGATTTCTTGTCCGTTCTGGGTGACCCATCGGACGACTCGGCGCCACCACCCCCCTCGCCCCCACTTTTGTCGTCGTCCTGCTCGGCGCTGAGGTGGCTGTTGTGCTGCCGTTTGTTGACGGCCCCACTGACCCGGTGGTTCCCTCGGCTCTTCCCTTTTTTGGGGGTGGTGACCCCTTTTCCGCCTTGCTTATCTTTACGAGGGCCTTTTCGATTGGAGGTTGAGTTTCGGTGGTCGAAAGGATCGTGGTCGTCGAGTTGGTCGATGTCTGTTTTTGGGTGGAAGGGGTTAAAAATTGGTCATAATTTGTTAACGAAGGAGCCGAAAAATGGTCAAAATCCGCACATTTTTAATCATTCGCATGTTATTTTTGAAAGGGTATAAATTTCTCGTAATTTTGTAATTTCGCAACGTGTGACGCTAATAATATTGCCAAAATCAACTCATTTTTAATTAGTTCTTGCTTCTGGGAAATTATTTAACAATTCTGAACGACAAATTTGTAGGGCAGAGAGTTCCCAATTTTTTAAAAATCTACACTCCAGATTTTGACACTTTTTGAAGGAGGAGATCTCAAGTTTATGAAGCCTTCAGAAAAATTGGACCTCGCCGAAACTGGGTCAAAAAACTCAACGCCATTCCATCAATCAACTCACTGACTGCAAATTTGTCGTCCAGAATTTTAAAATAAATTCCCAGAGGCGAGAATTGATTAAAAATGTGCAGATAATAATGCTCCTACAGAAAGTACACAACACTTGCATAATTTTTCACGTAATTTCTCTTTCCTTTCTTCACGTGTGTGTTCATTGTATTCAGATCATCAACATCAAAAAAAGTGATTTTATTACAGGGCAACGGAACGATTAATGATGTTGGTTTTTAAATTATCCTTCAGCCTGTACAATGGTAATGCCATTCTTTGGCTTAATGGCGTAAGTAAGTAATATTGTTTTCTAGCTGGAAAGGACTTTTATGCTTTAAATAAATCTGGTTTACTACTTTTACAATACGCTTGTAAATCACTTAAATAAAATCATTCGCCCATCTCCCTATCCGTTGAATCTCTCTCCGTTTTGGAGTCATTTTCTTTATCCGAGCACTCTCGACTCGCCAGCAAATAATAATTATAGAAGTGCGAAAATTTGCATTTTTGCTGCGCCTTTTTGTGCATATCAAAAAAGCTACAAATTTCTTGTTTAGAATTCCCAGAGTCGAGTAATAATTAAAATGTTCTAATTTGGCCGATTTTGGTGATGAGGCATCGAATCCTGCGTTAAATTTTGATGTACATATGTGCTCACTGACCTGCACTTTGTCGATGTTCAAATTCGTAAAAATTTTCTCTGTCCTTGTCAAACACGTGGATCAAAGTTTCTCGAAAAGTTTCAAACAGGGATTTCACTTGGTCTTTACATTGTCCTTCTAATTGGTCCAATTTCTCGTCAAAAAATGCGGTGGCTTGGGTCAGCACCATTTTTAGCTGGTCCGGGCTGATTTTTCTGTGAAAAAGTACGTTTATTGACCTCAGAAATTTAAAAATTTTAGATTAACATAAGACTCGATAAGTCATCGCCAAAATCTTGAAAATCAGCACATTTTTAGTCATTTCTCCCCTCTGGGAATTTATTTTAAAATTCTGAACGACAAATTTGAAGTCAGTGAGTTGATTGAAGGAATGGCGTCGAGTTTTTTGAGCCAGTTTCGACGAGTTCCTATTTTTCTGAAGGTTTCTTAAACTTAAGATGTCCTCCGCCAAAAAGTGTCAAAATTTGGAGTGTATATTTTTAAAAATTTGGGAACGAACGTCCAGAATTTAAAAAATACTCCTTAAAAATGTTTCAAAATATAGAATGTATATTTTCAAAAAATTGGGAACTTCCAGCTCTGCAAATTTGTCGTCCAGAATTTTAAAATAAGTTCCCAGAGGCGAGAAATGATTTAAAAAATGTGCTAATTTTGACAATTTTGGCTACGAATCTCTAATTAATTACACATCTCCTGCAAGCTGTCCGAAATTATTGACGTTGACATTGGCCCCAGCACCCGCACCGTCGTCCCCTTCAATCCCGGCACCACCATCGATTCTACCCGGATTCGGGATTCCCATCTCTTGACACATGTTGTTAATCTTCTCCTCGAAGGTGAGACAGTCATCGTCCCCGCAGCCTTTTCCCGCCTTTCGCGTCCTGACCGGATCGACCGGGATGCAGCGCGCGCGTGCCGCGAAGCGCATGGATTCCAGGGTGGACTGGAGAAAAGCGCGGTCCGGTCGGACGTGCAGGATGACGCGGACGATCGTGTTCCCAGAAACGATATCTTTGAGACAATGGGTCAACTTGGATTGGCGGAAGTATTGCGAAGGGGCCAGTTTCGGGGGACGGATTAGCATATACATTCCCATGCTTTGGAGCTGCAGGGATATATAATATGTAAATATTTTTGAAAATTATTAATGGAATATTTATGAAAAACTTAAAAAAACAGATTTTTAGAGACGGTTTCAGCAATTTGATTTTGAAAAATGAAACGCTAATTTTTTGGTAGTCTTTTTTTGTAAAAAATTTGGTAAAAAATCGTCGAATTAATTGCAAAGTTGATATTTTTTTAGCAAAATTGATACGATTTTGATATTTACAAATTTTACAGAGATTTTTATAGTAATTTAATGTAGTATTGCCCATTTTGTTTTTGACTAAATTCATTTCGAAATGATAAAATTAATTTGTTTTTTGGATTTCAGAAATGTTCAGTAAAATATTAAACAGATACTTGAGAAAGTGTAGAAATATTGAAGTAGTTTGAAAAGTATTGAGAAATGTGAGAAATACTGAAAAATATTTTGAAATTTCAGTGTCCAAAGTTTGGATCAGTTCTAAAATCATCAATAAATATCCGTGAATTCATTATCGATTAATTATTAATTAGTGATTATTTTTGCTACCTTATTGTAATAATCGTGAATTTTGCGAAGTTCATGCGATCTGAGGAACATTTGTTCGAGAAAATACATATCTCTGCGAATGCTGATTCCTTCCGCGAGTTCACCGCTCGGACCGCGACAACATTTCGGTTTTAATCGGGGATCCGGATTCGGATCGGCGGGTAGCTCAAGGCGTTCCTCTTCTGGGGCTTGTTGCGGTTCGAAACAGTTCTGTTGCGGACAGGAAAACGCGTTTGGCGCGGAAGGAGACGGATCTTTCGCCTTTGAAATGGCCTTCTCGCGGAGTGGGATGGACGCGATTTTGCTAAAAGTTAACTATTTTTGGGCATAAAATTTAGTCCAAATAAAAAAAAATCTGGTAAAATTTTGGTAAAAAGTAGATCGATATGGGTTTTTCAAAATTTACAAAAAAAATCGAGTAAGTACTTATTACTTATAATTTCCTTGAAAAAGAATAGACGGGATTTCATACCATTGTTTAATTATTGTAAAAGTAGGTACTGGCATAAAAGTAAAATTTAAAAAAATACACCCATAATTTCTTTAAAAATCGAAGTTTTTGTTAAAAATGATGAAATTCAGTGTAAATTTCTTATAAAATTTTGTACAATTTTTGTACAATTTAGTAAAAAACATCTGGGATAGATGCGATTCTATCCAATTTTTTTCCAAAATAAGTAATTACGAATTACGATTGTTGGAAAGTGATCTATAAAAATGTGAAAATTTGGTGGAAATTTAATGAAAAATGGGAAAATTTAGTAGAAATTTTACAAAAAATGGGGAAATTTAGTGAAAACAGGTAAAATTTAGTGGAAATTTCGTGAAAAATTGGAAACTTTCGTGAATAAAAATGTGTACCCGTGATCTCCACTCCTTCACATCGCCCTTATTTCTTTGTAGCTTTTTCTCCTTGGCTAAAATGTCGACGTAGACGATGGTGTGGTACCGGGTTTGAAAAGGTTCCGGGTGGAGGAGCCCTTGACCCGTGAGTCCTCGGAGGATGAGGCTCAGACCGTGTTCCAGGGAGGAGATTTCCTCGTAAAAAAGTCCCTTCGGCCCAAATTCTCCGACGCGATTGAGATCGTAAGGGCCCAGGGTGAACAAGTCCTTAATTTTGCCCGTGTGGATTTCGAACATGGAAAGAATCACGTGGTACTCGAGGTCCTCTTGTTTGGCTTGAATCGTGTCGAAGATAAGTTCTAAAGAGCGAGGGACGAGGCCGCGATGCTGAAATTTGGGGAAATTTTGAGTATTTTTTATAAGAATGGAATTGAAAATTTTGGGGAATTTTGAATATTTTCATAATAAACAAATTGACAATTTTTTTCTACCTGATATTTCGACATGGGACCGAAAAGAGTGTAATTCTTGCCCGAGATTTCGGGTCCTACGCAAAGCACGGCACCCGAGACGCCCTCCATTCCCTTTTCGACGAGTTGCTTCACAGTTTTTTGAAAAACCTGACAAAATTTTTGGAAAAAATGAGGGAAAGTCAGTTACTAACTGCGCAGTGTTTCAGGTACAAGTAACGACTTGGAAGAAATAACGGGAAGAAAGTGGTTTCTTTCTTGCAGCTAAATATTTTGACCTATAAGAAATGCAAGGTGCAAGAAACGACTCCCCCAACCAAACCCACAAGAAACGAAGCACTGAATTTTTGTGAGTTATTTCAAAATTGCATGTAATTTTGTACTTCTTCTTGCTCCGAGGTTTGAAGGATTCCATCCGAAAAGAAGGTGAAAGCAGAGGTAGCCCCAGTTTTCTTTTGCAGGAGGCGATCCTCCGGTTCGATAATTATGCGGAGTTTCTAAAATTTTAAATTTCCAGAAATTGTAGACCAGATTTTTAAATAAATCTGTGATTTTTAAATAAATAAACCTTTTCATCCTCGCCGACTTGGAAAATTGAAGTGTCGAAAGGTTCCGTTGGTCTGATTCTGACCCAAACCAGAGGACGCCCAACGCCTTGAACTTGAAGGAGCTTGACTTTAACGGCGTCGCCCCCTTCGCCATCTTCGCCTGCAAAATGAGGGGCAATAATTATTTGGTTGGACAATAGTGCTCAGTTTCTTGCGGGTTTGCCATATTTCTTGCAGTGGGAAGCAATAAACGCAAGAAATTTGCAAGAAATTGCAAGAAATTGCAAGAATAAACGCCATGCCACGTACTTTATGAAGTATTTATAACGACCGGGCTTAGTTTCTTACGCCTTGCATTTCTTGCAGGTCAAAATATATAGCTGCAGGAAACCACTTTTTTCCCCTTATTTCTTGCAAGTGATTGGTGACTTGCATCCGAAACGCTGGTTGATAACCACTTATCAGTTTTAAGTAGATTTTTTACCCGAATATTCGCCCTCTTCCTGCTCATCTCCTTCGCCTAAGCGTTCCTGAGATTTTTCGACAGGGGCGACATTTTCAGCAGCAGCGTCGTCGACAATTACGTCGTGGGGGTCCTGGGAGGTCCCAGTGGATTCTTGGACTTGAAGTAGATTTGCGCCCCCCGCGACACCACCACCGCCGCCGCCGCCGCGATGGTCACCTGCTCGGTGTACTCGGCTACTCTCATTGCTCAATTTGTGCCCGTGTTTCGTCATTTCGGAGGGTTTAGTTTTTAGGATAAGTGTGGGGCTAAAATAAGTTTTTAAACTTGAACCGGAAGTGGATGATAACAACAAGTTGATTTTGGTCGCTTGGAAACAAGGTTTGTGGGTGGGTCAAATTTTTTTTCAGAAATATTGGAGAGGATGCTATATGAAAAATAGTTATGAAAACTACTCCAAAAATTAACCCCACCAATTTTGCCAAACTTGGGAAAAATGGGGAACTAGGCATGCATGCAGGTAGACCAAAATATTGGAGAGAATGCCATATGAAAAATAGTTATGAAAACTTCCCCAAAATTTTAAAAAATTGAGAACCACACCATAAATTTGCAAAAAATAGAGAACCACGCTTATAGGTGGACCAAAATATTGCAGAGGACGCCACATGAAAAAATAAGTATGAAATCTACGCCAAAAATTATTCCCCAATTTTCTCAACTTTCAAAAAGTATATAGAGATTTAAATCTTGAATTATTTTTCATCGGTTGAAATCGGCAAATAATTCTGCAAATCTGCACTTCCATTATTTTGTTCATCCTCATTATTACAATCCGCTTGTACATAATACAAGACTACTTTTCGCCCTCGACAGACAGAAGTGCATATTTATTTTTGCACACAATAATCATCAACCAGGTATTTGCATAAGTACCAGAACAGCGTTACCACTTATCCATCAGGGTCCACTCCATGCAACGCAACGTTACATAATTGCACACCTCTCGTAAAATCGTCGTCATAAATAAGATGCCAATTACTAAACGAGACTGGCTATCAGATAAATACGCTTGACAGCTTTAAGTAATCTTTAAGTGCGCATTGTTATCGTTATTATTTACGAACGTACATTGTTACAGAATGTGCAAATATGCATATTTCCCCATGCAGTTTTAGGTACCATAATCAGCGTAGAATTTTATTTCTA